TCCAATCAGTATAATCAAACACAGCTGGACTCAAATGAAGGTGTAGAACCATCTGAGGGATGATCAGAAGAAATGGACAGCGCCTAAGTTAAATATATGAGTGTCACAGCAAAGGGTCTGAATACTTATGACCATGTGATATTTCAGTTTTTCTTTTTTAATAAATCTGCAAAAATGTCAAACATTCTGTGTTTTTCTGTCAATATGGGGTGCTGTGTGTACATTAATGAGGAAAAAAATGAACTTAAATGATTTTAGCATATGGCTGCAATATAATTAAGAGTGAAAAATTTAAGGGGGTCTGAATACTTTCCGTACCCACTGTACGTTTCCCAACACGCATGATATTTTGTGTGGTGTATTGCTTTTAGTAATACAAGTGGGACTGACCTATATAGTGCAAAAAGGACAGAGGACAAACCATTTCCTTTTCTGTCATGTGTTTGCCCTGCAGCAGTAACTGTCCTGCTCTCAGTCTAACTCCTCCATAGCTTTGGACTTATTTAAGCTAATCCTGATCCCTTTAACTATCTAATCAAAGACCTAATACGCTGGCAATGGGTTTACTGAGCGGTGCTGACATTGCCAGTTTTGCTTGCTATGATGCGCCACTTGTTGCCCCAACTGTGTGGTCTCTCCTGTCCTGTTCTTAGCCATCTCCAGGCTGGCTCACTAAGCTCCACACACTAGCCAGGTATAATGGGCGTGTAAAGGTAAACCTTAAAATCTGTGGGAGTGAGCTTGACAACTAACATCTGTCTTTTGTGTCAAGTCACCAGGCATTCCTTCAGTTTGTTCATTTCTCAGCTTCAAATGTTTTATTTGCAAAACAATAAAATCAGATCCTGTAAAGTAATTCCTCTGTCATTAATATTATCTTTGTTTTCTGTAGTAATGCTGTGATCTCGATGAAAAGGCTTTTATTGAAGCTACACAAGATACACCGAAGGTGACCTGATTATTTTTTACTAAATTTAAACACAAAAGCTACTCAGTAGCTGGGACTACTGTTCGCACACTGTTTCTTTCACCTGACACAGTGGAGCTGCCCCATATAGTTATGTGATCATTAACAAAAACAACCCCAGCCTACATTTGTAATAAAAAAGGGTGAGATTACTGCAATTCAATGATTTTAAATTTACCATAAATAAATATTTGTGTAATATTGTTTATTACTGTGCATTTACAACATTTACAACCCATTCTTTTAACAATGACATGGACATAGACTTACAGTACATTGAATCTGAAAGTGTAGTTGTTGTTTTTTTTTTGGTTTTGTTTTGTTTTGTTTTTGTCATGTGTCTTACTTGTTGAGGGTGGGTGATGCATTTACAGGTCAAAACAAGGTGAGCAAACTTGGGCAGCAGCTAACAGATAAAAAGAAACAAGTCCCAGGTCAGATAGCACTGGAAGCTACAGTTTTATAGTATACTAATTGAGCAGTTATACAGTACATATCTACCTGTATAGCACAGTTTGCACCTGAGCAATACTGTGTAGTTTGGTAGCAGATGGATTAGGATTAGTGGTTTGCACAGGTCAGGTGTACTGGAGCCTAAGTATGGTGAAACGTATAGTCCCTGAACAAGATGAAGGGATTAAGGAATGATGTCAGAGCCTGCAGCATTCTTGACAGTCCAAGAGCTAATTAATATGTTTGAACTGACCTCTGAAGTCATAATTTAATGTATACCTATCCAGTAGATTTGGACTCTGACCATAGTCATTATACAGCAATTGAATTATATTTCACTGGCCCAGTATAATAGTTTAAGGTAATTTAGTTAAATGGGCAATTGGTATTTCCTCATGAAATACAACAGAATATAAATATGTACTTCATTCATTTGACAGTACACTGGAGTCCTAGTTGTATATCAATATAATGTTGATGCCAATTCTGTTGTTGCACTGTTACAATGTTTTTGTAGTGATTGATTGTTAACAATTAAATGTCTCACCAATGCTTTTATTCCATGAAAGTACTTATTCTCAGTTGGATGAGTGAAACCAAATGTGTATGAGAAACAAATGTTTCATATTAGGATCAAATTCAGCAGTAATACAAACTGCTGGTATGCAACATGTGGACTCAGGCTGCTGTTTCATTGTACAGTACTGAGCTTGACTGTTTCAGGTCCTCTGTCACATAGCTGCCAAGTAAAGGGCTGTTTTTTTTTTCAATAAATCAAATTAGGTTTAATTAGACTTCATTCCAGGTGAACAGATATTGCTGTCTACAGACTGTGAGTAAATGAACAGTGATCTTGTCTTATATACAAGCTCTTCAAACTAGATTCCAGTGTGTGGGTGTCAGCTTCAGTGTCATCATCCTGTTTGACTATATTAGAGTCTCTGGGTTTTGTTTGTTTCTGTATGAACTTTCTTGTATATAATGTCTGATTGTTCTATTCTATGTGTAACAATAGGAGGGTTTATGTATGTGATAAATCCAAATATTTACATTTGCCCAGGTGAATGCTGGGTAAGCATGCTTGTATATGAAGAAGCTGCCAAATGCACTATGCCTTTGGCAGCTGGCAGTTGGGACTGAAACCTCAGTAGCGTGGTAGATACTTGGACGCCGCTCACTCATCATCTGTGATGATATGTGAAACTTTACAAGTCTTATAACAACATAAAGATTTTAAAAAATCCCACCAGACAGCTACATTTGATATCTGATTTACATATTTATAAATTCATGTAAACACTGCAAAGCTACAGTTAGTGATTAATAACCTTCAGTGCCATTGCAAACAAGCTGCATATTCCCCCCAGACCCCCCACTTCCATCTATTAACCCATCCCAAACACATGTATTCATGCTCTCGTTCCTCTGCACTTAATCGGGCCTCAGCTGGCTGCAAGAGGCCAGAGAAGTGAGTGGGAGTGTGTAGGTGCTATCTAAAGCCCAGTCATTTGTTCCTGTGCCAGTTTCGCGAGGTCAGCAACCTAGGACTACTGCTGCCCCATCTTTGGCTCAGGCTGTCACACGGTGCCTGGGTGCTGGACAGGCCCTTTATATAATCAAAGAGCCACTCCTTGGCTCACCTCACTCCCTCTGCATACAGTATGTCCTCAAATATGTGAGCACACAAACACACATTCACAAATATGTCCAAATTACCAGATTAACCTAAATAATAATAATTAACCTAATAAATTATAGTGATTGTTAGGTGTGTGTTATGATTACACATATTTTTACACAGGCAACTGTCTGGCTTTTAAGTGTTAACAGTGAGAATCACCTATTGCATTGATGGTATCTTGATCAATACACCTTTTCCCTGATTATTTTCATCAGACGTCTTTATTCAAACCCGTAGATGGACAGCTGATTATCATCCCTCATCTGTGCCTCTGCTGTATGCTGCTGAGCAGAGTGAAGGTGTGGTGCCTGCTCCCCAAATTTGTAAACAAGTCCTGTTCGCCTCTGCTACCATAGAGCGCTGAGCTACTGCACTCACACTCTCTATAAACCAGGATCAGTCCATCTAAGCCCCTACATCCAGGACAGGAGTGCACTGCTGGGGACTAATAGCTTGTTGTTAGTTTGGTTGAGTACAGTAGTTAAGTATTTTCTATGTGGTACATTTGGCTCACTGTAAAATACAGCTTTGTTAAAAATATTACAAGAAGAATAAAAGGTAATAATTAGCAATTGGATAAGATCATTTTGTACCTTTATGCATTAGATTTTGGTTTCTCAGCTTGTAACCATTGTCACTGTGTATATCAGTGGTGTATCAGACTATAGTGATGTGTTCCTGTGCTCATATTTCCTTGTGAAACTTATGAAATTTCAAATGCAGCTCTGACAGTATTTCACACTGAGCACAATGAACAACTTTGGCAAACTGAGACACTATTAATTAGTCAGTATGTAAAATATAATTTAACTTCATTAATTAAATTATACTTAATGTGTGTGCCCCTGACATGGAAGGAAAACATGTCTTTGTCCCAGACTGTGCAGATGCTGCCCTATTAATATATCTATTACCGCAGATTAAGCTTTAGGGGTTTACTAAATGCTGCTCAAAGCCCTGCTGCCATTTCAGGGTAGTTTTGATTGCAGCCTCGAATTTGACCTCAGGTCAAGTGCTAGAGTTGTTTAAATCTTCCTACGCCTCTGAGATCAAATGCTGGTGTATACAGCCTAACATCAGGACTGTATACAGGAAACTGCTAACAGTATTTATGACTATTTGCGTTTGACTTTTCTCACTCACTTTGATTTCTGAATCTTTCTACCTATAAAATAAACAGTTCACACATTTCTAGGAAGTTAAATAATATGTGAGTATTGACAAATATTGCTGTTGGTCTTTTAACCCTTGAACCTTTCTTTGAAAGGCAATGACTGATCAGTCCTCCACTGGAAATGTCAGCTAATCTGTGTCTGTGTTTGGGGCAGTCTCTCAGTGTTTAACACTTTTAAATTGGATTTTAGCAAATGTTGGCAATAAACCGTGATGGATAAACTGTGAAACTGGAGACAAAATACTCCATAAGACATAAACGTATCGCTATGTTGCACAGCTGATCAACAAACTGGAACAAAAATGCAGGAGCAAAGCTGTGAAATATTTTTATTTTCAGAATTTCACATGATTATTTTGTAGACTGAGGACAAGTTTGGAAAACTGCAGGATTGTTGAGCAACTATGCTAACCCCATTTAGATTCTATAAACATATCACAGGACTTTTGTTTATATGTAATATTTTGATTGAGCTATAGAAAGCTCAAGAAACTGGATCATATCTAATTGACTGGTCTGAGAACTTTACTGGGCCAGGTATATTTAACACAGGCTTCACTGGTAAATTGAATGGCAGTTTTTTTTTATTATTATTTAAACATTTAAACTTGCTAATAATGTAAAATGTGTACTACTAAATGGTGCACTTCATTTTTCGTCAGCAAGAAATATGTTTTGAATTTATTTTATCACACACTAACATAGTTTTAAAACAATCCATCAAAAGCTGTGTGCTTTATTATGTTGGTACCTGTGGCCCTCAAAAATATATATCTACAATTGTTTTTCATGCTTCATGTTGACATTTGTGACCAGCATTGTACAATGCATTTTATTATTGTTTGCTTTCTTCAGAATCTTGCAACAAAAAGCTTATACCAACTCAATTTTTTTTTTTTATAGCCAGTGGCTATAAAGTACAGCTGCAAAATCCCAACCTGCAGTAGTTTTTCTCTCAAGCTTTATTCCTGCACTCTATGCTGTTGATATGCTTGGGCCAGATAAGTGAAGAGATCATAGCCAAATTAAAACTTAGTATTTTGACCCCTAATCAGCAGAATTGTATTATGCTTGGGTTGCTTTACAAATATTAGTACCATGGAGATTATTAGAGTCACATAAAAATGTGCAGACATGGCAAACTTTTCACATTATTCATGATAAACTGCAATAAGGCAAAATTCTACTGGAAAGACAGATTTCTGAAGTATTTAAACGATAATGAATGGGGTTGTTGAGGCAATATACATATATAATCATGCAATAGATCCCATCTGTTTAGTATTTTTTATCATTAGAAAAGATCTGAGCTGTCAGGCTTAGTCTAGTACCACACATGCCACGAATGTTTTCTCCTATAACCCTGTGAACACCAAGTCAATCAGCACTTGATGCTTCTAACTTACTCTGCATTTCCGACCAGCGTTATGCACCCTACCACGCCTCTGAAATGAAAGGCTGCTCTTACATAACAGCATCTTGGGGTATGTCGGAGCTGTGAATGGAGCCTGTGACTGGCAAAACAGTTACGTTGCAAAGTTACGTACAAAGTTTGATTGAAGGAATAGGTTTAAAACCCCTGGAGAAATTAATGTAGCCATTCTCTGTCAGACTGACTGCGGTGAAAAGTGAAGCCAGGGACCTGCCAGGGTTTCATAAAAACTAGACTGAGCTGGAATGAGAGCAATCTCATGAGACTCTGCACGCTGAATACTAAATCCAAGTTATTTGCGCCGCTGATTGTTTGTGCCATAAATGAAAGCATGGAAGTACAAATCTTTCATTGTACATAGACTCAGATGTGTTACTGTGCTGAAAGTGCAACAAGATGGTTAAATTATTTGAACAATGATTAAAGAGCGAAAACTGCAGCATATTATGGCTTTGAAGCCTTTGCGCTATAGAGGATTGTGTGAGCCATCATAGATGGCATAGTTTCAAGAGTCTTACATGGTTTTGGCACAGTAACACAGGCCTTTGCATGATGTATCTGTAAGCAGGGAGGAACTGGTGCTAGCAAAAGCCCTGGCTGCCGGCTGAGTCCCGTCCCTGTGACACTGTTGTGAATGTCCGCAGGTCTGAGCCCTGAATATTTTATTCAGATTTGACCTGCAGGACTGCATGGGCTTTAAGCCGACATGGCCAGCTAGAATTCCTTGCTCTCTCTAACACCCCCCATCTCTCTCTCTGAATGACTGCATCAGTAAACAGACCTCAATAGACCATTCCTGATGCATTCTTTGCTCTCCTCCCTGTCCTCTCCTTGTTTACCTTGCCTCTGCTCTGCTCTCCTTCTTCTCTCCTCCCTCCTTTCCTCTCTCACTCTACCTCTCCTGCAGGCCCACTGCCCCAGTCTTATTCAACTCCCTCCTGCCAGACCAACACTACTGTACAGAGAAAACAGCCCCATCCGTGATTGATGAGCAGCGTCTGATGCAGTCCCCAAGATTGAGACAAACAAAGCCTCACAGCCGAGCTCTCCCAGATACTGCCTGCATTCACAGCCTGTGGTACAAGCAAGGTGAGATGGACAGAAGAATAGGAGAGAAAGACCCTAAGAGAACACATCAGGACCCCAGCATCCCTGCAAGCATCTACCTATACCCCACCACCACCCCCACCCCTCCTCTGGTCACAGCCACAGAGAGGATGGATTTACCTTCTGTCCAGGATTTCAGGCACTTCGTCATAGATGAGTCGCAGCTGCAACTCTTCCTCAGTCAAGGAGAGCCCAGGCCAGCTGAGAGCAGACAGCAAGGCGAAGGAACAGAGGAGGAATGCGTGTGCAGCCATTGAGACAATGAGAGGAGACTGCCGCCGCTTGAGCTCCGCTTCATAATCTGCTCTCCTAGCAGTGCCTGACTCTCAGCTCCTCTGACTGGCAGTCACCGTGGCCAATCCACAGCGAGCAGAGCCGATCAACGTGCGTCACAGTCCCCTCGCTGCACCCTCCCTCCTCCTCGCTCCCATCCTACTCCCTTCTCTGTCATCCTCCCCCTGCCTTTCTCACCCTCCTACATCCACTCCTGTGCTATCTTCTCATCCTCTCTTTCATGCACACATAGCCACAGGCAAGCCCCAAGTATAGACAGCAGCTAATTCTTTTTCACAACACATCGTATCATACCTAGGGACCCTACAAATAACACACTGAAACACATCCTTACACATACAGTATATCCAAATGCATGCTGGACATGCCTGTGTACACAAACACACTCTGCCACAGCAGCGGGCTCAGATACATGGACACACCTCTGTGGAAATTGACCTGGGAATGTCAAGGTCAGGTTGTTTGGGAGGATAGGTGGATGTTGACATGGCTACAGAAAGAGACAAGGATCATGACTGTATGACCTAGATCTTCAGTGCCACAATAGCAGAATTAATTCACTTGATCTATGTGTTGTTGTGAGCACTAAGATGGCCTGTGGCTGAGGAAATTGTCCACTGAGGCAGCAAATATGGATGACAGGAGCAGCTGAGCAGCCTTGGGATGAGATGGGAATGAGGGTCCAACCCTGACGGCTGATCCCATTTCCTCCGCATTATTAAGCCCCCATGCGTGAGACACCACAGGATCTTGATACATCCTCTCATATCAGATGATGTGATGATTTTCAGAGCAGAACATTAAGAGTGGTTATATAACCAAATCTTGTGATCTACTGTCATGGTTGATTATCACATTAATGTATGGCAATGATACAAACTAAAAAAAGTGGCTGCAGGGGAAGACTTTAAATTCCTCTCATTTTATCCCACAGGGATCTATTTTAGGTCCATTGTTATTTTGATAATATGCTGTATTAACGATCTTCCATCTGCATGTTATAGTGGTAACATGCAAATGTATGCAGATGACAAGGTAACTTATGTTCACAGTACAGTATGATACATGTTGCTTACAAACTTGGTTAAATCAATATTCCAATATCAATACTATTTCATGTAACAGCATGGTTAAAGCATGTTGTCTGCAACTAAAGGTGCTTCTAAGTTAGGAAAATTTGGTTAAATACATAGATATGTGTTGGATGTACAAGATAATACGTGGTTTGGCTCCTCCTCCTCTTACACAGTTCGTTAACAACACCAACTGCATTAAGTACAGCAAGAAGGAATTGTATCCTGCACAAGAATGAAACTGTACCAATATACTATCATTTGGACATATAATTTTCCCTATGAAAAATAATCTTTTGGCTAATTCTGGTGCATTTACAGTAATGTTTATTAATGCCCATTGTCCCTGTTAAATAACCTATTAAATTAAACATGCAATACTGTAAATCCAGTATCATTCCATATGCATGTGTTTGTGTTTGTTGGTAAGACAGCTAGAGTATCGCTGAGAGTATCTGAGGTTTTACAGTACATACAGTAAGACAAGGTGACTAAAAGCTGTCTCATTCCTCCATGTCTGTCTGCCACAGTCACTTCAGCAGGCTATTAGTGTGTCAGTCTACTGAAGAGAAAGTGCAAACTAGACTGTCACTGCTGCCATCATAGAGCAGCAGCATCACAAAACATCCTAGAAAAAGACATCCAAGTGTGACAACCTGGCCAGTCTAGTTTTAAGCAGGCTGATTTGTTTTCTGTCATGTAGCATGGTTTTAAGTGTTGTCTTGCTATTATCTAATACAATAGCCCTTAAGCTTGTAATAGCTATGTGTTGTTGAGAACATCAGGCGTGTCAGTCTGTGTTGGTGTTGCATTGGAACTGAATGAAAGGTGTGCATTTTGTGAGTTTGTGCTTTGCCCTGTCTTGGTGAGTCATACAGAATTTTACGAAAGAGATCGATCATACAGGGCTGGGGGGTTACTGTCTATTTATAGGTATGATCTCATATCCAACTTTTTAATCCTGGTTTTTATGCACACAGAGAACACTGAGGCTTACAACACACAAGGTGATGTAACAGGTTAGTGCAGCTTTAGATAGCTCTGCAACATGTTTATGATGCTATGTAACTGCTAATCTAACAGCGAGCATGAACATCTGATCTCTGCAATGTTGAAGCTGAAGCAGCCTTAATGAAAGAGCTAAAGCCTGTATTCATTAAGAGGCCTCTAGTATTGTAGGAGGGTAAGTACATCAAGTTAAGTACTTAAGTGTATTTAGTGTGTATTTAAGTGTGTGGGGTTTCTACATTTGTGTCATTGCATTAATGTGTTTGAGTAGTTCACAGTAGAAAAGACACATTAAGGATTATGTTGTTGTTTTTTATTTATTGGTATACTGTACATATTTGCTGTCTGTCACAACACTGTCCTCTGTAGTTCAATGCTTCTGTTGCCTTTTTTGCTGAGCTTGCTCTCTCCACACACACACACACACACACACACACACACAATCTTTTACCTTCAAGACAAGATCAATAAATAAGGCAAGCTGAGATGATTAATCACGTCTTATTTGTCATGAATACACAAACATCTCATCTTTCTAGTCCAGTGATTCTCATCATTCTCACATTTACACTCAAATGTGGGTATTTAATGAGAGATTGAACTCATGATCAAAATAAAAAATACAAAAAAGTTCCAATCCTGAATGCTGACTTTGCATTTAACTGCACAGTATGTATTTCCAACATTTATTAAAACATCCTTTATAAAAACTAGCCTATTTATTAAATATAGAACAATCTCCACTAAGAGCACATTTTGCTAAGATTACATAACATCCTTAAAAGCTTTCAGTGTGTCATTGCTTTATGTCATACAGGCATTGTCCCAGGCGATATGATAAATGGAGGACATATTATCTATTGATAAAATTGCAAAAAAAATTGTTATATAAAGCTAATAAATTAGGTCTTATTGTCTCTCTCTGTCAAGATACTGTTTTTAAAAACAAGTGATGTCTGCTTCTAAATAAACATAAATTCTTTCCATATAATTATATTCATTCATAAAATGATCCCCATGTAGTTTTTGGTTCTATTAAGCAGTAAAATTCCTGGAGTTGTTCTACACCTTTAAGTTGGCAAGATCAATCATGTGATACTACGCAAAGGAGAAACCCTCCACACAGAGTAAAGCAAAGATCTTATTGGCTGAAATGTGTGAATGGCTAAAGTTAATGATTAACAATCATGTCACAAGACAGGCAGTTTCATTCAGTCCTTGGTTTCTTTGACTGGCGCTATGCCAGACTGTGCCACATGAGGGCAGCCACATATAACCTAGCCATATGTCTTCAGTCCTTCAGAGAGATGAGCTTATTTCATGAGGCACGAAGCTAATGTAAGAAATGTGAAGATATGGTATAAAGGGAGATCAGCTCTACAATGGAGAAGAGCACTTCAAACCCTAAAACACATCTGCAGTGCAAAGTTGCTTTAAAAGTCTGTGCATGTAGCTCTATCAGTGAAGCAATAAATCAATCAACAAATTAAATACATTCACATTAACATGAGTAACACAGTACTTGTTAGTATGATAAGACAATTCAACACCAGATATTTAGTCTTACACTATGTCACTCTTCATGCTATTTAGGTGTACAGTTAACCGTTTACCTGGTCAAACAGCAGCAAGAAATCAGACGCAGCCACTCATGAGTTTCAAGTTCCCGTCCACAAACTAAGCACCTCAGGTGACAAACTTAGAAAGGAAAACAATGAACACTCAAAATAATACATTCCAAATGGCTGATATGGAAAAAAATGAACATTAAAGAACTGAAGTGGTTTTAGATCATAGATAGATGGTAACTAATTACTCAACACATTGCTTACACTGATGTCCTGATTTTGGCAGCCCCAGTTCAAATTTAATCTTCTGTCTAATACTCGTTGTTCCTCCCTCATCTCCTTCAAGACACAAACGCTTTGTTATAGTGAATGATGAAAGACAAGGACAGCCAGACACTCATTTTCTAGCTTTTAGATGCACTTTTAGATGTCTTTCACAGCATACCAACAGAGCCTTTGTGAGGACATCAGGCCTTCTAGACAAAAGCTGGCCAAAATCTAAACACAGTGTTTTATCTTAACTATGACCACTTTTGTTATTATTAACAATCTTAAACTGGCAAATATGTAGTCACGTGTCTACAATATTCCCATACCTGACTTATCTATCTAAAAGAAAATTGATAAAATCACAGATAATATCAGAAACACAGGTCTATCCATGTATCAAGTATAGACAACAACTATCATGTCTATGTTTATCTGACAGGCGTAAAGATAGCAATGATAATATTTCCTCACTTTGTTCACTGGTTGGATATAGAGTTATGTTTCCTTATGATTTGATTGTCTATAAACTAAATATAAGAGAGAGGCACCAGACTGTAATGAAGGAGAAGTAAAACAAACCTGTAAACAAATAAATAAGTCTCTATATAAATATAAACTCTAGAGTTGTCTGGTAACTATGGAGTTGGTCAGCGCTTTATCAATGCACACAAATATAAAATGGCAGTCCTGGAACAAATCGTTTGTTTTGATCTAGGATAAGCTTTATCCTCCCTGGTTTCTTAACTGTTGCCACAAGGCAAGAGAGTTCAAACTAACCGGAGATCAGCATCTAAAAGCAACCATACCAGTTTATAAAATGCGCATAAAAGAGAGAAGGCACAGAAACACAAGCCCACTGTGGAGTGGGGCAGCAGTTTTGGGGGGGGAGCAGACTGGATAAAGCTGTAGCTATGTCTGCTGGCAGCAGATGTGCTGCTCACAAGTTGCCAAGTCTCGAAAAAGAGCAGGGTTTCATATATTTGCTGTTTCTTTCTCATTGATTTTGTTGTGGACCTCTGTGTGGATGTGACCAAGTCGTCCATCTTTCTTCTCCTGGTTACGAGTGTGACCACAAACCTGTCAGTCACTCGGGGCATGATCAGTGAATGATAAAGCAAGAAGAGGTGATTCAGTTGTGTTCCTGTGGACAAAAGTGGCTTCTTCATTTGATCCATTGCATAAACTCCCTTACAGTAACATGCAGTGAGCACAAAAAACTGGTGTACATACAGTCGCACAACAAAGCAGATCTGCACTGTTTTCTTCCAGTTTGTCTTTCAGATTAAAATGAAGGGGGAAGCCACTCTTTGCTACAGATGTTACAGTATGCAGTCCCTTTATTATCCACCTCATCCTATTTCATCACACCTGTCTGCTCCTGTGTTGTTTCATTTGCTGCCTTTCACTGCAAAGGTTCTGTCTTTTCACCCTTGGTCACAGTCACATTTGCCACCATGGATCCTTTGCTCTCTTGACTTTTCTTCTGTTTGGCTGTGTCACCAGTTTTGCTGGTGCCACGCTGGTGGGCAGGAGTTGTTGTTTTCACAGGGATGGGGGCTTTCACCTGAGGCAGGTGGGGGTCTTCTCCAATGTTGACAGTGAGATTGGTGTAGAGAGGTTCCAGCTCTTTGGAAATGAGCTCGTAGGTCAGAGAGTTGAGGCCGTCAGAGCGCCAGTTGAGTCTGGTCCTTTTTAGAAGGTCAAACCTAAAAAAGGGAGCCATTATAGCATAGATTTGTGTGTGTATGTGTGTGCATTTGTTTGTTTGTCTCAGGGTTGGACTTTAAAGAATTGGTCTGACATTGATGGATGTTTTTTGCCAAGAGTTAGATCAGAGAATCAATAACACTGTCATATCTGTGTAATAAATATAAAGCTATATCCAGGAAACAGTTAGCTTAGCTTAGCTTAGCTTAGCATAAAGGCTTGATGAAGAGGGAAAAAATTACCCTACCACTATCCAAGGGTCAAAAAAAACATTTCTTGACCATAAGCAGTGATTTCCTAGAGTGTGGAGAGTTCACTAGAATTCACCTGCTGTTTTCTCCTGTTCCCTCTCTTTACGCTAAGTTAAGCTAACTGTCTCCTGGTTGCAGCTTCATTTTTATCAGACAGACATTAGAGTGGTATGGATCTTCTCGTGTAATTTTGTAGAAAGTCAATACGCATATTTCACAAAATGTCAAATTACTGCAATAAAAGTGCCACATGAAAGCAACCTCTCCATGAAATATAATAAAGTGGTGCTGTCACTGTAGGGCAAGGTTAGTCTTATATCTTGTCAAGATGTTACACTCCCACATGAGTGTGACTTGTGGTGCTAGAGCTGATTTGCAGGAGCTTGTTTTTATAATAAAAAAAAAAAATTCAAAAACATTTTTTAAAATCTGAAAACAAATGAGCATATGCTGCTTGAGGCAGCAGAAATTACTGGCACAAGAAATCAAGCGCAGGAAAATGTCCACCGCACACAAAACAGCCACAAAATATGAAACCTCACCATGTGGGGGGGTTTAAGACAGAATGGGTTGCACAGGCAAAGACAAAACAAACCTGATCCCTGTCTCCAGTAATAGCAACAAATATTAGTGGTGCAAAATGAGTGAAGAGAAATGCTTTCTTTCATAGTTTAAAAAAAGGCTCACTACAAAAAGGGGCAGATGAACTAGAATATCAAACCGGGGGAAGAAATGCTCTGAAATAATGTGTGCACATCTGTACCTGTGGGGATTTTGCTCATTGCCTCTATCTCCTTTATGCTTGATCATCTTGTAATGACCAATGGCCACTGGAGGGCGTACAATCTTCATGCCAGACAGACGTACTCTGGAAAAGGCAGCACACAAACGGGAGTCAACGTGAACAGCCGCTTAAAAGGATTAAAAGAATAAAACTGAAAACTAATGAGTCAGGTTAATATTAGATCAAAAAACAAAAATAAATTGATGCTTAATTACAGATTTTCTATTACTAGGGGATACATTTAAAAAACAGAATGAAAAAAAAACGAATTTTGGGTGACATAAAAGAATTACATACTTTCAAGGTCTACAGGTGGTAGAAAATACTGCAGTTCCTTTTTTCCATCTCTGCTGCTTGTATATCACACCAATCATCTAAATCAAATAAAACATGTAACTAATTTTGTTGTCACTATCCCCTATAAGATCATTTTGAAGTTGCAAACATCACACACAAATAGTGAAATATTATTCTAAGGTAGGGGAGATATTGTAGTTTTTTGTTTGTTTTTTTTCATGTTAAATTTGTGCACATTTTGGGGTTATCATTTTTCTGTTGCATCCAGTGCCTCTCATAACAGACTGGAGAGAGGGGACCGCAGCATAAATGAGTCTGAAGAGTGCTTGAGAAGTCTTAAGCACGCAGCCCAGCCCAAATCTGGGAGCCAGTCCATGCGAGCATACTCACTGAGCCCACTCCAAGAGACACACAGCAAAGCCACGGCAGAGGTGGGGGACATGAAGATGAAAGGTGATGTTAGAGCAGAAATGAAAAGTCAAAGAAAAGAAAATTTGTGAATGCGAGAACAAAGATGAATGAGCGAAGCAAATGACAGTGAAAAAAGAAGAAGTGACCATAAATGACCATGGATGAGAAACTGGTGCACACCCAAGCACATCTTACGTGTCAACATGCACAGTTCACTCTGTCATCATGCAGGGTGTGGACCTTTGCCACATTCACCCCCTCACCTGGCAGCAATGTCATCATCCTCTCCACCCCAACCCCAGTACTGGTTGGGGAAGCCATTCATCTTCATGTATTGGTCTGGTGTTACTGCAGACACCCCACCAAAATATTGTGGGTACGGCAGCCTGGGAGGGTCATATCACCAATGCACAATAATGGAATTGATGTCTCAGCACAATGCATTTAGAGAGAAGTTCGCCCACACATACATTAGCACAGATGCTTCTACCTGTATCTGAATTTGTCCATTGCCACAGACAGGTGTGTGGGGAACTGTTTGTGGCAGGTGTAGGTGTTATGGTCATTCTCAGGCAGCAAGTCAACATCATGTAGGAAGATGCAGCTCCAGTCTTCATCTCTGAGGGCTTCCCGCACTCCGGCGTTAAGAAGCTTGGCTCGGTTAAAAGTACTGTTCCCCCACTGAAGCCAGAGACAGAGGCAAAGGGTAATTTTTGTTTAGGAGAGAACATATTTTTCACTGACCGATATAAAAGAAGAACAATTTGGCACTATATTACTATGATGAAAGTTCAGCTGCACTGAAGCCTGAGGATGTATACTACATCCATCCATTCATCCATTATTTAAACCACTTATTCCTGAATAGGCTCATGGGGGTGGGGGTGGGGGCACTGGAGCCAATCACAGCTGACACTGGGAGAGAGACAGGGTTCACCCTGCACAGGTCTGCAGCCTATCACAGGGCTGATATGTAGAGACAGACTGTATGCTACATTATAACCTATAAATGTTTGTATTATGATATGAAATATGTCATTAATCTAAATTACCTTAGTGGCATCTACCATAGCAGGGCATATCATTTTGGTTTTATCTGCATGGGTTTTGAGATAATACACAGGTTGCACATGGTAATACACTAGCAAAACCCCAGTAGTACCCTAATACTACAACATTACAACATTAATATGCTGATAACACATCAGTAGTACAAAGAATTAATAACCAGTAAAATAGTATTATAGCAATGTTACAATAGTATTGTTACACCATTAACACCAGTATTATATAATACTATAGTATTAATGTCAGAAATATTTACACATGTATCACACCAGCTATATACCAGCATTACACTATTATTACATCAGTATCACACTAGAAACCTACTGATATTACATCAGCTTTGCTCATGGAGGTGCAAACTATCGACATCTACACTGAAAAGAACATATAGATAGCAGCATTTTAAACCAGCACACGCATAAACACTCATACATAACCTGACCTGCTGCACTATATAGATGCTATAGTGGATCTGCTGTCTTTGCAGGAAAGGGTGGAGGTGATAGAGCAGGGCACGGAGATGAGTCTGCCGGTTCCGGTACGGCACCACAATCGCTGTGTGGTGGCGAGGTTCACAGTCCGGAGGCCGGTAGCATCCGCCTGGCAACACTAATGGGTTCCTTTGTCTGATCTCCTCTAAAGATATAGGAGAGGAAAGATGGACGGACACAGGTCCGACTGGTGGAAGGCAAAGGAAAAAGTTATATAAAAGACTGTCTGGCTTTTGTCTGACCAACAGGTTAACAGAATACTTACCTTTTACAGTATATACATGTTTTACAACACATTTAACCCTTCTAACTCACCCAGCAGTGGGGATGGGATCTGGCAGTCTCTTAGTGGTGGTCCTGTGGCAGGGGGTCCAGTGCCAGAGTTGCGAGGCGGAGGAGGCGGTACTCCCAGATGACTCAGGTTGGTGTAGACATCGTGAGGTCTAGAGTAATCAAACTCCGGCTCTGTGGTGTGCACGAGAACAGACACGAGGCCTCTGAAACCCCCAAGGGAGAAATATAGTACAAAGGCAAACTGGAAACCCACCAGCAAGGCAAGGGTGCACGGGGAGTCCAGAGAGCGCCCACAGCACGCCATAATAGAGAGGTTACAGTGAAACTTCACAGGGTGGAGGAAGAGGTAGGGAATGAGCGAGGAGAGGCAGACAGAGAGGACGGGAAGCAGGTAGGGCGGCGTACAGGCTCAGGTGTGCAGATGGTGGGTATGTAGGAATGAAGCTCAGTCAGTACTGCCATCACCTCCTGACCATAGGTGTCACTGGAAGAAAAGAAGAAATTATTGTTATTGAATTCCAATGATGCTTTTTCTGATTATTGTTGTAATACACCAGTCTACATGTAAAGAACCTGCTTTTTAAGGATCCTATTAAAATCTGTCCTGGGCCAAAAAGGGCTCACTCCACCTCTCTCCTCTTCTGCCTCTTTTCACCATCAGCCTTTCTGTAAGAAAAAAAGACCTGAGCAATAACAATGCAGCTGATTTGTCTCAGTACTCTCTTGTGTAGTCCACTGGAAGATAAAATAAGCCATGACAAGCAGCTGCAAACGCGTCATATTTGCTTCTTTATTGAAAATCGTTTATTTCGAGCAGTGATATTTTCATGGGGCGTATATGGGGAGGCGCTGATGCCTGCGTATCAAAGTAATCCAACATCACAGGTCCCCCTATATTCGATACCCAGCCTTGCATTCATCACAGGAGGTGCTGCTGCATCTTTTGAGACAGGAAACAACATTTTTCTAGCTACCGAAAAAACAGATCACAGTAGAGGAAAAACGGCGCCACAGTTATCAGTACAGACATCGGTCCATCCAGGTGACAGCATATATCAACATCTATCATTAGGCCCATGCAGGCAACTACATTGCTACAGTGGTAATATGTCAGCAACATTTATTCGACACGATCACTGGGTATAATATTTAATCTTTCGGTCCCAAAGGCTCTTTCTTAATTTTCTTTTCCCTTTCTTTTCTCTTTCTCTCTCTAAACTCCACACAAGCTCCGCTGCACCAGCCGACTCACCAGCACATCCCTGCGACATTTCGAATCCAGCCTCCCGACTTCCTCTGAGAATCGACGGGCCGCTGGCCCCCGGGTGGACACGATGGACCAACCGAAATCGATTTTTTTTTTATGATGATCGTCGCTTCTCTTCCTCCTGATCCTTTATTTGAGGCGAAATCACTCCGTAGCTGCTTAGCGAGCGCTGCATACGGTTTTACGCGCAAGTGCATCGCCGCATATCCGTCCGGTGTCAACACAATCAAGTGCGCTCATAGAAACGGCTGGAGATGGGCTGGGGCGCTCCGCGGTGACGCGCTGCGCGGCATATTTGAAAATCCAATTATAATTCTGCCACCTATGAGTGGTTAATAAATGTATCTGACATTACAAAGCTTATTTTTATTTATCTAGGTCGAAAATAAGACAAGAAAGCTAGCAGGTAAAGCAGTATGGGGTTCATAATGTAGAACATAGCTGAATTATAATGTTAATTAGAGTTAATATAATCTACATGTTTACATTTGTCAGTGTGAAAATGAGGAAGATGTGTGATATGTGGGAGACCATTAAAATGTGTGTAGCAGTTTGACATTTGCAGTTTTTGGATTTACTTTCTGTGTGATTCATTAAGCTGAATTTCACCCTGCTCTTCAGTTTTTCCTTCCCTGCATGTGTGTCCATCAGTTCTCAAGATAGTCGAGAAAGCGTCACACGGTAGAACTATGGGAAAGAGAATGAAATTGTGAGATTGAACCCTACAACAGAGACAAAAGTGACACAATATAAAAGAAATTGTGGCACAACCAGCCAGGACTTGTGTGTGTGTGTGTGTGTGTGTGTGTGTGCGCGCGCGCGCATGTGTAGGATTCATTCATCAAATGTTTTCCATTTTTTTAGATTTCTCCTTTATTTTTCACACAGCATCCAACTCAGGGGCAACAGTTGTTCTCTGGCTTAATGCAGTAGGCTAAAAATATCTTTATTCACATGCAGCAGTAGCTCATCAGATTACAGAACAGAGACAGATACTTATGGCTAAAGTAGTTCCACACAGGTCTACCAATGTAAACAGGCCAACCACACCCCACCCTCCAACCCCCAAATAACCCTAAAGCAGATAAAGCATAACATAAAAACTGTGCAAAATAATGCATCAACACTACTATTTTGGTAGCACTATGTGACCACACTGCCCTCAAAGCAAAGCGAATGTGTGTGTTTTCTCTCTCTGGGGGCAAACCCCCTATACTTCAGTGTCCCCTCAAGGAATACTGTATCAGGATATCATGCAGACTCTGCTTAGTAAAGGCACAAAATAGATTCATTACTCAGGCACACTGCTGGTTCAGTTACCTCAGATAAATAAGAAATTCTGCTCTGATGAGGTAAGTTTTAAAGTTTGCCCTTTGAATCAACTAACTAGCCGTGATATATGCAAACATGTTGTTGAACAGGTAATAAACTTTTTGTGTTTGTATATGGTGAAAAACAGCCCCAATTCTGTCACTAGTTGTTTATTAATAGTCTAATTTCATCACATATGAGCTAAACAGCTTCAGACCAGTGAAACAGGGACAATGTGATGGATCTCCCAAATCAGCACAAACAGAAAGTCAAGCACCTTTTCATCTATATAAAAGTCTACAATGCATTGAGTTTCTATTTTTTCTTATTTGTAATCTAAACCAAAATGTTAAAAAGACAAAAATTATCTCAATCACAATAAGCACTGTATAACAAATGGAATTAATGCTTCACAAGTTTTCAGTACTCATTGTCCATCAATTTAGAAACAGTCTCCTCTGTTTCATCCTTTTCAAATGACAAAAGTGTAAAACCTTAAATTCAAAAATGCAAAGACTCAGATGATGTAATGCAAGCACTTTGTTTTTCATTCCCTTCAAGTTCTGTTACTGTATTTTTCACTTCTCTTTCTGTCCTGTCAGTTTATTGCCAATCTTCTCCATCATTCACCTTCTTGCTCCAAAAAATATCTATAATAAAAAAATTATAGTTTCTGAAATGTTATCTCCGTTTCCTCTGTCTCAAGTGTTTTCATTATTTAAATTATCTTCCCTTCCTCCATCACCTACTCACTCTCTCCATCTCTCAGCACCTCCCTGTCTTTACTTTTTGTAGTTGCCGAACTGAATGGCCAGCCGATCACTGACACAGCGAAATGTCGCAGGCTGCACCTCCCAGTACTTGACGGGGTTAGCAAACAGGCTGATGCCATTATAGAAAGTCCTCTTCATCCCAAATCCTCGAGGGCAGAAGTCATCCACACCCACCTGGCTGATGTTGTTGGAATGGAGGTACACCACCTGGAAAACAGGAATTAATAAATAGAGCATCATGTAAAACGTTCTGTCTCAGATGTGTGTGCACGTCGGACTCACCTGTAGGTATTTCATATCTGGGAGGCCTTTGGGAACACGAGTGAGCCGGTTGTTGTCCAGATGCAGCTCTCTCAGCATGGGGAGGTAGGACAGACTGCCATTCTCTATGTTACGGATGTGATTAAAACCAAGGCCCAACCTGGAGAAGGTCAGATGAAGAAGGGAAACAGTGAAAGCAGCAGAAAACACTGCACAGCATAGTACATTTAGCTTAACTGACTGTTATCATTACCACAAAGTAAGCCAGGTGAGAATTAGAGCTACAGCTGACTGGCACAGCTCCTGTGACCATAAATACTTCCAGTGCACATTAGAAGTGTGTAAAAAGTATTATAGGTGGAAGAAAACTGAAATCTGACAGAGGAACCATTGAAAAGTGTTCATCCTACATTAGAAGATGGGGAGAAGCTTCTATTTTGACTAGAATGGGAAAGCATGCACAGACATAACAATATTATCCTGCTGCTTTTAGCAAGTGCCATGCCAGTGTAGTTCATATTACAACTAAAAGGCACAGCTAGTTAGAAATGAAAATGGTGTTGAAGTGTACCTGTACAGGTTTTTGTAGCGTTTCAGGTCTTCCAATTCCACAGCCTGGATCTGGTTTTGGTCCAGATGAAGCTCATGGAGACTGTCTGGGAGGTCTGAAAGATGGACAACATAACTGTAAGACTCCACTTTAAGGTGAGATTGTAATTTGTCCTGAAGCTGTTCATTCCTTTTTTGGGCTCCATAGTGCTCAACCCTTTGCCATAATGATACCTTTCTTTCTGGTTAGATTAAAGGAATAGTCTGAGATTATGTAAGACCACCTTATTCGGTTTGATAGATACAGATGAAAAAATTCATGCCATTCTTATGTCTGTCAGTTCTTAGCTTAGCATAAAGACTGGACACCAGGGGAGGTGGCCGGACTCTGTCAAATGATGAAAAACTCTGCCTACCACCACCTGTAAAGTTCACTAAGGATTACAATATATGTTGTGTTTTAGAGCAGGACTATTTGCTGGCTGGGACGGTGACTTCCTTGACTCTTGTCATTACCACTGCAGTTGCCAGGCAACCAGCAGATTGTACAGATAAAGCAAATGAAATGTCAATTAAGGATCTGTAGAGGTAGGTAGGAAGACTGCTGATTATACCATCATGTTTACTGCACACTGTTCTTCTCATCTAACTCTTTACAAGAAAGTGAGTAAGTTTATTTCCCAAAACTATTCCTTTAGATAGCCTAAACCGGTGTGATGTGTCAGTGGTTAATATATTAGCATTTTAGTGAAACAGAGGATTGTTACCTTTTGGCACGCCAGTCAGTTTGGCCTCTGATATACGCAGATAATTCAGTTTCAGTCCCTTGAAGGCTCCAGGCTCAAAGCCACTGTTCTGAAGCGGGTTTGCTCCCATCTCTGCAAGGGAATATTTGTAGCATGAAATAAAATATGGTCCTTTAATCTTCAACATCCAGTCACAGTGCTATAAAGTAGTAAAGGGAGCTGTGAGCACTAGAATGCAGCTGCAAGACAAACTTTACTAAAAGAGATCATATTACTCCTGTACTCGCCTCATTACATGGGCTGAGTTCAGAATTCATTTTATATGTTTATTGATTGTTTTTAAAGCCCTACATGGCATGCACCACATTATATTAAGGGGTTACTGCTGCCATATGAGCCAAAATGCCCTTTACACTCCTCTGTTCAGAGTTTTCTAACTGTCCTGAGATCCTACTGTGTTACAAGAGGAGAGTGTGCATTTGCGGCATGAGATCCACAGGTACGGAACTGTCTCCGAGAGGTTGCAGGTTAGCAAACTCTGTTTTCTTCTAAAACAGGACCAAAACACACTTTTGTGACTTTAGACTTGTGTTTACACCATGTGCATATCTGTATCTGCATATACATTTGTATATGTAAATGTACACATCATGCATATAGACCTACTTGTTGGTTGTGTGATTAATTCTGTTGTGCTTTCTGCATGTTTGCACATTACAGTATGTGCATATGATCATTATAGGTGCATAATTTATCATGTTTGCTTTTTATTTATTACCATTTTTAAATATGTCTTAGCAGTTTTATTTTGTGAATCACTTTGTAACTATGAAAAGTACTATAATAATAATGGTGATGCTGATAATAATAATAATGGTTTATTATTATTATTATATAGGCTACATTTGTTGACATCATCAGCATTTCTGACCTATGCAGTTCATGTTGACCAGTCCTGAGAAGGCTCCAGCTGCCACCTTCTTGATGCGGTTCTCGTGGATCCTCATCTCAACCAGGGAGGAGGGCAAGTTCTTGGGGATAGTGGTCAGCAGATTCTTGGAGAAGTAAAGCTTCTGCATGTGCTTCAGAGGGGCAAATGTTTTGGGGTGGACTTTGGAAATAAGGTTATTCCTCAGAGACAAACCCTGGGGGGCGGGGGTGGAATGTCAGTAACCAAGTCAAGTTCAAATTTATCACCCATTATTTGACCTACCAGTATGTGAAAACACCAGTAGCACACAGGCAGTAAGAAAAAGACACACAGCATTCACACGCATTTTCGACAGGAAATGCATTTCTCTAATGTCATGTTGAGAGTTCCCAAAAATGCCTTAGTATTGCTCTTAGTTAGAGCTCATGAATGCGGCTTAGCAGTGAGTAAAGCCTCCTCTGTTCAAAAACAGCTTGAATGGTCCCTTTTGGCTATGGGCTCAAACTTTAATACAATTAAAGCTCTCAAAGCAACAGGTTCTAGAGGGAGATAAAGAAAGGAAATGAACCTCTAAATCCTTCAGGAAATGAAGGCTTATAATGGTATACACTATGAAATCCAACACAAGCTGAGCTCATTTAGTTGCACATCATCAAAAGGTTGTGACCTGATGCCAAAATGGAATATTATGAATCTGACAAGACTGTGTGCATGTCTCTTACATATAAGTTAGTAAGGCCTTTGAAGTCATCCTCTTTAAGCTCAGTGATATGGTTGTTCTGAAGGTCCAGGAACTTGGTGTCCCGAGGAATATTCTTTGGCACCTCAGTCATACCTGAAGACAAGACCAATAAAAACACAGAAGGAAATCATACCATTAAATGTTTATATTGGTGACTCTGAACCAACACCCTAAAAACCTGTTTGTTTTCACTGGGTGAACTCTTAGGATATCTTAGTCAGACATAAACGTTGGAAAATAAATACTCACTGTGTGCTGTAAAACTTCCATTGGGCCTACAAATTAAACCAATCAGACTCCCACACAATCACAAATGAACATGTTGGTGCTCCTCGCCTATTATTTTTAATGAGGACATACACACAGCTAAGGAGGTCACACACAGACGTCAAAGCAGCACATAACTAACATTACTGGTTTGTCACTGACAACGATATGAACACACACGCTCTCTCTTTCTAACACAAACAGAAAGACAAATTCCCTTCACACCAAATGTGGACACCAGATGTTTTGCATCTGGTTTCCATTTGACAAAAGTCGCAAAAAATACCATCAGTAAAATCACACTTCAAATAAAAGGGAGACGAGCACAACCCTGACACAAACAAACAGAAAAACACGAGCTATGTGTGTGTTAATGCATGAGTGGTGAAATTGCCACTGCAATGAGGAACATATGAAACTGTGACAGAAAACACCTGTGAGGAGTAGTGAAGCTGTGTGGCTAACAACATCAGTGAAAAACCAAACGCTCTGTTGGTTAGGGTTGCTTATGAATACTGGATACCATGCAGTAAATTCTTACAAGCTAAGAATAGGCGGACAGCATTAAGAAATACACCTGCATTATTCCATTCATGAAAAAATGACTCAGTGCATACAAACACATCAACCAGTGATCATTAAGAAGCCCACATTAGAGAGCCACGTGGATGAATGTATCAGATGTGGTCAGTGGCACAGACAGACCACAGTAAGTGAATCCTCCACCAGGGTCAAACTCATCTGGACTATAACCATGATGCAACCAGCCCTATTGGTGAGAGCGAGCACCAGCTGTCCCACTGGGATCCAACTTGCCACTAACCACATCTGACCTGGAGCTGTCCATCTAGAGTTAAGTTTAGATATATGGCTTTGGCTGTACTGTGCCACACCCTCCCTGTCACCACACAGAATCAAAGCCTCAGTAGAGATCTGTTGCAGGGGCTTAAGAAGCTTGGAGGCTTAAGCTGCTACTTTGTACAAGTAGTGAAATTGCAAGACCAATTCATATTCTGTTTGAATATAAAATAAATCAGACTATGGCTTTATATTGCTGTTGTCCAGTGTGATAAAGCTATTACGGCTGCTGTGAGAGCAGCAGGACTCCAAAGGTGCAGAATGTTACCAGCTGGATTTATGTGGTAGGAAATATTTACCATCTGATCAACACCTGCAGCTTTGAACATGCATACTGCCAGCTGGAACTTGAGAGACATGATAAACAAACCTGGAAAAACATTCACCAACACCCTGATTAACTGAATCTCTTAACCCTCTAAACCCCAAACCGCAGCACTTCACCCATATCTGCCACAAATCACAAAGTCTTTACCACAAACTGACAAAACTAGCACTCTTTTAAACGCAAGGGCCCGTCAACAGAAATACCCAACATCATGCAGGGATGCACACTGAGAGGCGACAGACACCGCAGCTAAAATACATTGGTTCTAAATAGGCACTTGACATCTCGGAAATTATATGCTTCCACATTTACCCACTGCAGGAAGACCAGAGACAGTAAATATATAGAGCCTGTAAAATGATGATTCTATAAAACCATTATGTCTAAACATGGAGAGCTTATTAAAGTTATAGCCAGTAAATTGTGAGGAATCTTTATATTCATAAATAAGACTGAATGAAGTTTGGTCATGTTAGAATGGACATAAAAAGCATGCACTTCATCATGGTCAGAAAACTGTAGTGTATGTGTATATGGAAGGAAAACTAAATCACAGACAGGCTGTAAACTCATCCAGAAAATAGGATTTTGAGGTAGTTTATGTTTGTTTTTTTGATTTTTCAGGAAAGAGCAGAATAGTTTTGCTTCATGACAATGAATATGATCTTCACATCATCCTGATACAAAAATATCTCATGCTTATATCTTTTTTCTCAAACTAAACCATCCATCCCTTTCAGTCATCTCTACAACAAATTCTTTGTACCATTCTGGGCTCCCATTTACATCCTGTCCATGTCCACAAAACAACATAAAAACAGCTAGTTAAGGAGAGCGAGGAAATTATAAACTTTCTATTTCTTTTCATCAGAGTGTCCCCTTTTGTCTACCATCAAAACTGCCTTTTCTCTGCCTTCTACTAATTCCCTCTCTCTGTCTCTTGATCCCTTTCTACCTGCTATTTCTCTGCATTCTTTCTTCCCTTGACTTAATATTTTCTCCATTTCTGCTCAAACCATTTGTCACTTCCTCTCCCATCCTGTGCCTACACACAAAGTCTGGAACATAAAATCCCCCAAAGAGATGCTTTCCCTTAAAAAAATATACCAACATTATCCCAAGGGTGAAATCCCTCCCTTAGATAATACACCAAAGGGGGGGTTTTCTCTCTGGGGCTATTGAACTCAGTCATACTCGTTCACTCTGCCATTCACCTCATTTGTTTTTCTCTCTGAACCTCCAGCCACACTCACATGCTGACAAATGATGACAAAGCATTACAAACACTCTTCTCTCTGTTGTTTCTTTCTCACACACTCTCACTGACCGAGGTCAGAGCACTGGACGACCCTGAGCCGACACTGACAGCCGAAGGGGCATGTGGGTAATTCAGGGGGCGGGAAGGCCGAGCCATCCTCCTCATCCCTCATCATCGTCATCATCCCATCACTGTCCATACTGTCCATGGCAAAATCCCAGAAGCCTTTCTGCTCAAAAGGCAGAGCAGAAGAGGGGGAGAGAAGCTGGACTATGCATAGCAGCAGCAGGAGTGAGCAATGTGGCAACATCTTTACACACACCTGAGAAAACAGAAGAAGGAAGGGGAGCAGTGTCAGTTTTATTACATTTATTATTACATATACATGCGCACACTCATTTTTCTGTTTATTATGTACACCTGGCTACAATTAATGTAATCTAATACAAAAGCACAATAATAAATCCTACATTCTTAAAGGTTGATAAGGTTGTTGACTGTAGGGACATTTTATAGGTTGTAATATTTTGTGTTGTTATGTGCATTGTACTGAGAGGTCTAATATTTTGTCCATTCTATTTATATCAGAAGGTATGTGAGGATATGCACAGGGGATGTTGAAATGAGGAACAAACATAAATAAATATTGCATGAGTATGGCTGAATTAACAGCCGGACAAAGCAGGTGACTGCCCTGGAGCCACAGACCCCTGTGGGTCCCAAAAGCGTCAAGCTGACCCTAAGACAACTGATTTTTGGTTAATGTACTAACAGAACATGTGTTAGGAAATTTGCTGTACTAAAGTGCAAAATCAAATAAGGCCTTGTTCTTGTAGAAGCCTGTGGTAAAACATAGACAATGACTTCAGTTTTTATTGCGAGTGCATACCTAAATATTCAGAATGATAAAAAGAGATATGCAAAAAATTGGGCTGGATATTATTATTACACCATAGAAGCACTGGTCTCAGGGCAAACAATGCTATTGTCATGTATAGTTTGTGCACTATATTTAAAAGGACAGTGAAGTTAGTAGATCTGACTTGTGTGTGTGTGTGTGCCTGGCATTACTCATATACAGAGGACCGAAATCTGTTTATCCACTCACAGTGTGGGGACTTGGCCTTGAATCATTAACTCATTGAAGCGATGACATGGGGTAATGGTTGGGTAAGGTTAGAATTAGGCAAGTAGTGTTTATGATTAAAATTAGGGTAACTCTCCAGAAAGTGGAAAAAAGCGTGTGTGGGATGGAATTACTCATGTTGTGGGATCATAAATTTGTTAACACAGTCACACTATGAGGGACTATCATCTGAGGACAAGAGGCAAGTCCCAAAAAAGTAAATCAATGAATTTTAGGGTGACAAGTTGGTTTAAGGTTGGGGTGAGGTTAGATTTAGGTTGGGGTTACCATAAGAGTTACGATTAGCCAAGTAAAGGTTATGATTAAATCAGTGTAATGTCCATTAAAGTGAAGGAAGTGAACTGTGTGTGTGTGTATGTGTATCTGCTGGTAGCATCAACCCCAAACATTTGCACCCTAACAAGTTTAATCCAGCCATACACATGAGGGTCATAAATGAATTGCAGTACAGGCTGCCATTAGTGGTCAGTGATAAATGGACAGTGAAATACTGTATTATGAAATGGTCTGCTTGTCCTTAATTACAAAGCTCCACTGTTTATACCACACCTAACAGGCAGACCAGGACCTGGAGGCTGGCAAGGAGAAATGCCCTCACTACCCCTGCTAAGCTTGCCAGGAACTGACTCTGGGAATGAAAGCCACTTAAACCACACTGACAAAATGTCACTGTCTGCTTCCTGGACATCAAGTCGATTCCCAGGAGAGCACGTCCCTCCTCACTGGCCAATCAGATAGTGTAGAGGACATTAACTCAACGGTGGAAAACTTTATTTCTGCAACCAAACACAGCTACTATTCATTTAGAGGGGAAACTGGGTGTGCAGTTTGTCTGTGTACATGTGTTTTAGTGTCTATGCATGTCGGGAAACACAGACTCCATGATGTCATAGCCGTGCATACTCACACGCACTGTTAATTGAGGTCACTGGACTTGTGCATGTGTGTGTCTGTTTGCTCTATCCTGCCTGCATTGACCTAATATTTAAGTGTAGTCCCCCCTCCAACTCAACCTAAAATTCAACCTAAAAGTCCCAGAAAAACAAATACTACCAGGCTAATTGATCCTTACAGCAGGAAACTGTGACCCTTAACCTGAAGCTAATCCTATGTGAAGCTCAGTCCTGTACTGGACCTTAGGAGGGATCTAAAACCCTATCATCTCTAATCCTGTCATGTTAATTCCTTCTCTGATCCCCAGCTCCATAATACTGCAGAGGGGTGAAAAGTTTTATTGGCAATGATCAGCATATCTCCCAGAAAAGTTTTAGAATCCTGTTGCACGATGATTGAGTTTTCATCAGAAGCAACCAATCAGAACTAAGAGAGTGATGAAGGGGGGTGGGGGTGATGTAACAAAAAAAAAGAGTAAGGAGTAAACCATACAGGGCATCCACTGCATGAGAAAATGATCCATCTTCAGTCTCTGATCTTTGCACTTTAAAGTTGCTTATACAATCCTCCCTCTGCAAATGAAAAAGCATTTTACTCTACTCAAAGAAATAAAGGTATTATTTAGAGAAATAAAAATGAGTAAAATAAGAGCCTGTGCATGATGTGGACCTGGTATAGAAGAATGAATAACTGGGCCCTGCAATCTACTCCCTGCAACAAAAATAGCTGCCAAATTATACCATTTTACAGAAAAGAAAAAAACACCACTGGCCTTGGCTTGGCCAGAAGAATGCAGCCCAAAGGACACAGCTAGGACATATACAGTCAGCATCACACAATGACACACAAAACTGCTGAAATATACACAGAAGACAATACCAGATTTATTTATATACCTTCTGTATAATTTCTGCATTTTGAGCAGTGCAACGTATTGGGAGGTATTACAAATATATATTGAAATCTAAAATTATGACAAGCATGATCTAATCTATGGAGCCATTTTTCACTGGCAAAACTAATGATTTGTCTCCTGTTTGCAGAGCTGTGGTGATGAATCAAGATTTCCAGACAGAAGTGTCAGGAATAATGTGTAAGAAAATGAAAAGGGAGACAGTAACAAGAACAGTCTCTCATCATCCAGGAATGACATGTAAGGCCACTATAATCACAACATGACAATAAGACTAAACTACATCCCACGATCAAGCACTCTCCAACTGTAATAACCACTTTTATCTAGCCGTGGTGTGTGTCCTCTCTTCCTCCATTTAAACTGCCATCAAACTACTCTGAGACAAGAACAAACTAAAGGCTTCGGTTATAATTGCTGTTCCCTCAGCTCCCCCATCTAAAGGTCAAGAGTGGTTTAATGGATGGAATGGGCGTCTATTTCCGGTCTCTCACTGTGTTTGTCTCTGAAGTGCTATGAAGTGTGTGTGTGTGCGTGGGGGGGGTTGGTAGTTGTGTGTTAATGGTGGTGGCAAACAAGCATGTGAGAGATGCAGAGGCTAAAGGTACAGAGAAGTGTGTAATCAAGACCTGCATCACAGGTACAACGAAGCCCCTGTAAACAAGTATACTTTGTTTAAATGTGGGGTTGGTTTTCAGTGTTTTAGTGCCAACTGACAAAAACCATAATACAAAATCATTTAAACACAGTGAACCTGGTTTATCACTCAGTATCAATGTCTGACCTCACCACTTCTCTGCAATAGGAACAAATCCCAGCATCCAGGCAGAAAAATCTTGCTTTCCCCAAATTGTGGAGGCTATTACAGCACCAACATGGCTGCATGAACCTTTACATTTAGCTGAACTTGTCATAACAGGCCAGTATGAATTCCAATGGTTTACTACTGTAGATAGGATCAAGAAAGAGCAACAGCATGAAGACACAATAGAGGTTCAGGGGTGGTCTATGAATGGATAGGTGTCGACCAACACTAAGACACAGCAGTGTCAGAACAAGCACCATCTGGTGAACAATCTGCTCCACATGCATACAGGTTGTTTGAGTTTCCCACACAGGGTGTGTGAGATTAACTTTACATTCACTATATGAACTGTCCATCAAGTGTCAGCCCTCACATCCAAAACAATTACTGTGATATGACTACAAGGCAGCCTTTGCCCTTGTCAAGCTAAACAAATGTGTATTTAAGCTATACGCTCCATGTGTTGCCAAGAATAATCATCTCCTCAGGATACAACGCATAGTATTTGTTCTCCCATGACCACACTTGAGAGAAAAGCAATCACTGTTGCCTCCCACTTGGACACACACAACCCCAACAAACATTTTCTTTTGACCTGTATGAATTGCTGCATTCCTTTCTCTCACTCAGTAGAGGACATTTTATTTGATATAACTCTAAAATCATCAGATTGAATGTATACACAACCCATTTTTTATCACTACTGTTCTATCCAGATCAGCTGTTTTTCCATGTGTTGAACCCTTTGGCACTGCCATGAACTCGAAAGGCTGAAGATGTCAAATACTGTTAGTTCTTAAAATAACACTGAAGACATCAAATGGGTCATTTTATCCGCGTATACATACTTAGGAGCACATTAGCGTCTTCGATTGCATTGGCAGTTGTGTGAGCAGAGTTAAGGTGGGGCAGGGAGCTTACAAAAAGTGCCAGCTGGCACTGCAGCGCTGCTGCATTGGCAGTCGCCACGTCAACACTCGGGTTAACATCACAGGGTGGCCCCAAAGTGATCATACTGCTGACTGAGCACAAAATATGTGACATCAAGTCAAGTCAAGAATCTTTATTGTCATTATGCATAGCACAACGAAATTTTTTTGACAGCTCTTGACTTAAAAGACAGACATATTATTTACATAACACACAATTGTATAAGTATTACATGGCATAGCATTTGTGTTGCAGAGAATACATTTAATTTGAGAGAACTCCATGGGACTTTCATCTGTTTTCAGCAAGAGTTTTGTATTATTTCCTAGCCCCTCATATTATTTTAAGCATGATCTGCATTGCAATAATCCTAAAAATACAACTGTAAAATTCACATACATGTTTGCTCATGGGAATACAAGCCAGCCCAAACATGCATATGCACGTAAACCATTTACATGTTGTAGTCCAGCTAAAAAAAACAATCTGCTCATTTAGCCTTCCTTCCTTTCCTTATGCCATGACTCCTTCCCTCCACACATTTACACACACACAGGCACACACCTACACACACAACCCAAATTCACGTTCTTTTCAGACACAGGCATTCGGGTGGAGTTAACTGCCCCAGTGGCTGTAATTTGGTGAGTGCTATCCCTAAAAAAAGGAACTGTTTGGCAGCCCCTCTCTTGCTGCCAAGCTTGGATGTGGTGGCGAGCAACACAGGGGAACAAATGAGGGCCAAACCAGTCAGCAGCAGGGGAACAGTTGACCTGAGGATCCATGCCTGTGAGCCAGTGAGCCTCATGCAGAGTATGTGAAGTATTCCAAGTTTATGCCAGTTATAAGTGGGCTATGAATAAAGGCTGTAAACAATGGCTGCTTTATGAAAGCCCCTAAATGGAACAATCATAAAAGTGTATTGTTTCTGAATTCAATGTTCCAAGAGTAGGAAAAAATGTAATGTAACCACTGATTTTGGCATCAAAGTGAAACTGATCGATGAGGGTACAAAGGACACAACCCTCTGCAGGAGCAATATGGAACATGACGGGAACTGTGAATTTGAACTTGGACAGAAAAGTTTAAAATAAATGAAATTAAACATTGAGATGGATGATGAGAGAGACAGGTGGATGGACAGACAGGCAGCGAGAAGCACAGAACAGACAGACAAGCTGGCTGGTTAACCCACAGGCTGGCTAATGGCCAGTCAGACTGGACAGTCAGGAAACAGATTTAGACCATTTTGACTGTCTGACCAGTGACTCCAGCTTCAGACTAATGTTGTTTGCTCTGTCTTTGTACAGTAAGGTGACTCAGTTAAATACACTGGTATAAATGGTTCATACATGGTAGATTACTATTGCTGGACATGAAGTCATCAGCACAAGACAGAATGTGGCCATAGAGAGGAAACTGTGCCATCATATAGACCAGTTTGTTCCCATCATATTATGTGGCAGAATCAAACACAATGACAAAGGCTATAATAAAATTCCTGCCAGATTAAGCTGGAACATTTCAGATGGAACACTGTATGTACACTATACAGAGGCTGTATTTGAAGGTACTGCACTGCTATTTACCAGAACCCACTATAAATGTCATGCATTTAATTTAGGGCCTGATAAGAAAATAAGTGTAGACTTATCTCAGGATGAAGTGGACAAAATAGTTTGCTTAAATATCTCCTATAATGATTGGTCCCATTGAACAGCCTTTGGAGCCTCCTTGCACCATCTAGTGTTGCTCCACAGTAAGAATTGACTGAAAGATTACAGCATCATGCACCAGAAGATGTAACAGGTTGAAATTACTAATGTTTTAAATTAAAAACCAAATGAAAAACAAATAATTAAAATACACATTCAATAGGTCATGCAGGGCAAACTATGTGTAAACATCATACCTGTAAAACTTTAACTGAAAAATATGAGGTGATAACATAAATCTATAATATATATATATATATAAAAGTTTTTTTTACATATCTGTAGTATCAGTGGAGTTTATACCTACTTTATTGTGGGTTAGATTTCAATTGATATCACTACAATATTTCAATAGTATAAAAGTTTCTACTTATCACATCAACTTTAATTTCTCACATTGCCCTAGTATTTCTATATAGGTGCTCTTTTGTAAAGTAAAATCAGCCTTGAAAAATAAATAAATTGTCCCCAGGCTGATCAAAAAATGAAACAGCACATTGAATAAAATCACCCAACTCCCCTACCTTTAGGATAGGAAATAAAATTCCAAATTCCAAAAATATGTTGAATGGTGTTTGTTCCCTCTGTGTGTCAGAGTATCCTGGAGATTTTTGTTTTAAATGTCCAATATTTTCATCACATTTAGGGATTATTGCAGTGTTTTCCTGTGATCCTCTGACATCTAGCCGCACTTCCTCCGCTACTGTCTGCCACCGCGAATCCTGTCAGGGATGTGTGTGTATACAATCCAGTCCAAACCGAGGAAATGAGGGAGGGAAATCATGTGGAGGGGGCTGAGCCCATAAAGTCAACAAGCCAGCCTCCTTTCTCTTCTGTTTGGATGGAGGGAAACTAAGTAGGAGGAGGAGGATGGTGGTGGAAGAAGCCTAAGTATTTCTGTGCCATCACAGTAGTAGGTGTTACAGTAAAATATCAGGATTTTATAGATTTCATGATATTATTCATTTTCTACCACTTAATCCCGGAACGGGGTCAGGCCGGAGCCAATCCCAGCCGGCAATCGGGCGGGGCCCGAACCCGGAACCTTCTCGCTGGGAAGCAACGGTGCTAGCCACCGTGCTGCCCTATTATATTATTGATATTATTGATATGATATTATTCATGACAGTTCTAATTATTTTTGTACAAGACTGGTCAGACTGCTACAAAAAAACAATATTCACATCATTGTAGTGTTTCCTCAAAAGGAAGAAAGAAAAGTTAACCAGTCCACTTCATTTGAACTTTGTTACTCAAATCTATAATTGTCATGTTTAATTGCTCTGGAAGCCAATTTTAGCTAAAAGACATGGTAATTTTAGCACAACCTGTTAAAAGACAAGCTAACACATGGTAGTGTCTGAAGAATCTCAGACAGACTTCTTTATAGTGCGGTCACATGACACAGTAGCGCCACGGAAAAGAAAGTAGGCAGTTATTGTAGATCATATAATCAAATTTTAGAGAGCAACAATGAATGTTATCACATTGTTGGTGTGTATAAAGAGTCTGTAGCAAAACAAAAGCCCAGTTTATTTCATCAGGGATGCTTTAGCTATTACAGTTTTTCTCCATCGCTTTCATTCATTTCTCACAACAGAATTGAAGTTTGCAGATCTCCAAGTGCATTTCTTAAAACACCACGTACAAACTGCACAACATAGTGGATAACCGGAAAAAGCGCGCCACCTGCTCAAAATGCCTTGTCTATCGTGCAAAAGTGTGTTTTTTCATCAATCATTGTGTCAGAGGCAGCAGAATCCCATGTCATTTCCTCAACAATGTGAACGTGACAGGCAAAATTATTAGTCATGTTGTCAGTAGAACATCATACTCAGTTTTTGTTATTTACTGTAAACTATACTCAACTCAGGTTTTGATGACTAGAAACCACTAAATTACCGTACTGGTGTGTGTCATAATTTACAGTTTCCCTCCGGTTAAAAAAAAGAAGTGATTCATGCGAACCATTGTGCATCAACCAGGTGTTACAGTAATTTACATGGTAAGAATAGATAATTTTCTGAATGATTACATCTAACCTCATCTAACCAATCACCATCGCCCCACGTTACAGTATATGGAAGAATCGAAACAAAAGATCAGACTGTACTCACGATTCTACTGTACTGTCAATAGTGGGACTTACATACAGACAACAAAGGAAACTATACATAGTCTATTTACCTAGCAATGGAAACATACTGTAAAAAAGACAAAGTGGGAAGAACTATACATGTACAACAGAAGGTAAAGGTGAGATTACGTGGCAGTTTTCCTATGCGTCATGTCGGTCCTGTCTGTTGGGCCACAGATTCTCATCCACATCACAACATATATTTTGTCTTGCTATGCACCGTGGAAAGAATCTTCTTGAGTGCCTAATCCAGCCTCTGCATGCATCTGCTGAGATGTCCTCACATGCTGCATCCATGGCAGCCAGCAGTGTCATCCGCGTATGTGGCTGATGATCATAAACTTTCCACCGCCAAGCCGAGAAAAACTCTTCAATTGGGTTCAGGAATGGGGAGTAGGGTGGAAGGAATTCAATCAGCATCCTGCGGTGGTGGACAAACCACTGCCTGATGTTGTCAGAGCGATGGAAACTGACATTATCACAAATTACTACATACTTTGGTACATCATCTCGATTGAGGTCCCTCTCATCTTCAGGAATGACATTTCTATAGAGATTGTCTAAGAATGTAAGGAGATGTTGTGTGTTGTACGGCCCCATAATAGGAATATGAGCTAGCACACCTTGGTCTGACATAGCAGCACACATAGTGATGTTTCCTCCCCGTTGGCCTGGGACATCAACAGTAGCTCTCTGGCCGATTAGATTTCTACCACGCCTTCTGCCTTTGGCCAGGTTGAAGCCAGCCTCATCCAAGTATATGAAGTTGTGAGGTGGTTCTCTTCGTTAACGAAGGTGAAGACTCACCTGAGAGCAATTTCTCAATTCTGGACATATTTCTTAGCAAACATCTACTCACACTTTGTAGAAATCTGTACAGACATACAATTCTGAGAACATGTTCACTCATTTTGATAGTACAGACTTCCAACCTGAAAAAAAGACTAATTGGTTTGGTGGTTGTGACATTTCAGCTGAGAACCAGGACAAGTTATTTTGCACAGCTGGACAAAAGCAACAAGAATTGTCAAAAACAGCTGACAGATGTACAGAACCATTTGCATGTTGTCAAAAAGCAATTGCAATTTGATGAAAACAACAAGAAATTGCTGATATGATGTGAACAACTGACCACAGAATCTGACGGTTGAACGAGTAGTTCTGAAAAATGCAGTTCTGTTGTGAGAAATGAATGAAAGCGATGGAGAAAAACTGTAATACTTCTCTGAAAGTGTTAACTAGGACTTTTCTAATCAACTACTGTTCCGTTGCATAACACAGAGTGTCCCTGATTAGTTGTGACAGAGAACCTGGTGATACTACCAGGCTCCACCAAAACTAACGAGCAAATGTATTTTGAGGACTGTGATTATAAAACCTATGATTTTGTCTTCTCATGGTTTTCTATTAAATTTTGTTTTGGCAGGATGAAGCACTCTTTCGTACCGACTCTCCAATTTCATCTCTTTATCACCAGCACCCAGTGCAAGGCAGCAGGTCTGATGAGCCTCACTGTCTGGGAACTCTTCCCACCCTGTTTACAGTCAGCTGCACAAAGGTTTGCAGTTATTTACACATTATCCATGTCTTCTGTTGCTCTGGGTCGTTGTGCATCAAATCATAATCATTTTCCTCATCATTCACATGGTAAATTATATTTCTGTAGAGTTATATGCTTTTCTTTCTTTTAAAGAATGCAGTAGTGGAAAAGGCCAGATCAATGCCCTGCAGGGCTTTTGACAGAGGGGCAGAATTTAGATAAAGGCCTTAAGAGAGAACATTCCTTCTTCTTCTGTGTACTCTGCTTTCTCTCATTTTGTAGATACAGCCTGTCTCTCACTCTTTCTTTCTGTCTGCCTGTCTCTCCCTCTTGCTGTGGTTCACTTGATTATGGTGCTGGGCTGTAGCTAGAGGGCTTGGCATCTGTCTTATGAATGTTCAACTAAAGTGTCTCCAGAGATTAGCACACCCACTTGTTAGCTCTTTGCGTAGAAGCTGCCATATGGTGCGTGTGTGTGCCTTTCTAAGCAGAAGAGAGAGGGGAGAATAGTATTGAGTAAAGTGTTGCTTTCTTTTTTTGGATTTGGAATTTTACAACAAAAGTTTATTTTATGCTCATTATTGTTACTGGCTATCAAGCATGAGTACACCAGGGCTCATGGCCAAGCTTTCTCTCACACTGCAGTAAGCACATTCTTGTTGACCCCAAATAATTCACTCCTAACACTCGAAACCCAATCTCATGCCCCCTTGCTCAAGAGCCATCCCCTTCTTTTCTCTCTGTGTTTTTTATTTTATCAGCTAGCCACCCCACTCCCCACATCACCACTCCAATAACAAACACAGGAAGCTGCTGTCACTGGATAGAACAGACAGTACATGAGAGAAGAAAAGCACTACAGCGCTCTATGGTCAACCGCTTACAAACAGGCTCTGGCCTCAGCTTGACAGGATGAAAAACATCTGTTGGGAGTGATGGGACGTCGGTTTAACAGTGTAGTCACGTCACATGCAATATGATGAATGGCACTGAAGTGGCAAGACCGTCACAATTGAAAATATCCCATGTCACAGGCTGCGGAGGAGAGCTTTAAGGATTTAAGATCAAAGCTGAAGCATCCATATGTGCAAAACTGCAAAAAGAGTACTGACGCAGTTTGGTTGTCTTTGTGCAAAGTTTCAGATCAGCCTGTAAATGTAGAAACTGGAGTATAAATGTAAATGTGTAGTTTCTTAGACAGCAATGTGCTATTTGAAAAATTACTGTGCAATTACAGAGAATAGAGTCTGCCCCCCATGCACAAGACTGAGAACAGAAATCTAACATGCGATTACACACCCAGGGAGAGAGAATGAAAAGTAGACATACAGTATGTGCATGTATCTGTTTATATTACATATTCAGATCATGCATATACTGCACTATTATTAAACCATTAACTTCTGCTTGTCTCCTAATGACCCAAGTTATTTTCTCTCTCTCTTATTAACTGTGCATCTCTCTCTGCCTCTGTTGCCAGTCCACCTCCTCCCTCTCTCGTTCTCAGTGAGTTCATAACTCTAGCGTCTGGAGGGGACCTTCTGTTTTTCATTTCAAGCTGCAGAAACATTGCTTTCTATGAAACCATATAGCTGGAGAGAGCTCGTCAATACAGCAAGTGCACAGACTATAAATTACATCTTCACACACAGAGCACGACTCAACATTTTATCATTTCAATTATATGCATTAGTCTAAGTGATATACTGCAATGATGTGTGTTGTGTCTTTGCATGGGTGGAGTCATAAATTAAAGACACTGCTCCAGCAGGGAATTGCCAAATTGCTGGCACTTGCATCAGCTCTCATAAAATATTTACATGGGGTTTTTTTTTGTAGCAGGATTTGGTGTGAAGTATCTATTGTCTGTTCATGTTGCTGAGTTTAGGTTTTGGTAACAATACAGGATGACAAAATAAAAGGAAGCAATTTTGTCTGGTTGCTGCCTTTGATAAAATAATAACAGAGTCTGGTCTTTATGTCCTCATCACTATGAGGGTAACTAACACAGTTACTATGGGCAAGACTCTCATTCACATTACACCAACACCAATGCATCTCTGAAGGGGCCAAGATCAGAGATATGTTAAAACAGAATAAATGGGCACTGGCTTTATGCTTTATTGTGCAGGAAGGAGAGAGAAAAGCCAGAAGAGGGGGACAAAGATGGACAGTGAGATTCAGTAGTGCCAAGAGATGCATAGAAAGAGACAGATGGAACACTGAGATCAGGGGAGTTACTCGGTTGGCAGGGCACCAACGCTCCAGTGGCTTTTGTTCCCAAATGGGAAACAAGCTCTGAACGTACTCCAGCTCTGTCTCCCTCCGTTCATGTTTTCTCTTTGTTTTAAATCTTCGTTTCTCTCTGTCTTCTAGCCACATCTTATTAGATTCAACTAGACATGAACTTCCACTCATCTCAGCTTTCACTGACCAGTTTAGAAAAGAACAATTGCTGTATTGTGCTTTAAAAGTCAGCATGTTGTTTGCCACTCAGCTGCACACTAACAAAATGTGTTCCTCACCCCTTTCCCCCAACTCCCCTATTGCTAATCCAAATAATGGGCTGCCCCACTCTTAAAATCAAAGCTCTGTTTGACTAAGCAAACTCCACAATAAAGCTGCAGACCCTGCCTGATTTTAGGATGATTATAATGATACACAAATGAAATGAGACATTAAAGGAAAAGAAGGATACAGAAAAACCCCAGAAAGAACTGGACAGCTGCACATGTTTATTTTGATTTTGTATCTGTCCATGTATATTTATGCATCCTGTTGGTCATAAGTGTTCACTTGTTGTGGATAGAGAACTGGTCCCCGGGCATCAGTGACACAGGAAAAGGCATTTGGGGGAATCTTCTCAATTTCTAGCTGATTATTTTCGAGGTGGACCGAGGCCAAAGTGGAGCCAGAGTTATGTGGGTGGCACACTGCCCACTGCCTCACCAGTCTGAAACCACAACATACAAACATTTAAATATACATACTGCACATTAAATTTGGCATTTCAGTGGGGACCAGGAGTACTTGAGAAAATAAAATTTACAATTTTACACACTGCAATTTTTTTAAATCCACATATTCAATCAGCTGAGACCTGAACATTACTGTGGTAATTGAAAAGCTAAGAAAAGCAGTTTTAAAATGATTTTTTGTCTTTCAAAAAGGGATGAGACAAAGCAAGTGTACCACTGTTCATGGGGTCTTTGACTGATATTGTGGAAAGTGCAATACTACCTGATCTGGTTGTTGTCCAGTCTCAACACCTGTAGGTTCTTAAACTGTCGAACACAGTGAGGGACCTCCCCCAGATGATTGTTGTCCAATAGGAGCTCCCGCAGTGAGCGGTACATTCCAACAAGAGAGACTCTTTCTATACCCTTATTACTCAAGGCATTGTAGGATAGTCGGAGTGACTGTAGACCAGGACGCAAGTGACGGAACGTAAAGGCCGGTATGTCACTGATGTCATTATGCTGGAGGGTCAGGTTACGGAGAGAGCGAGGTAGATACATTGGGACAGAAGTGAACTGGTTGTAGGACAGATCCAAGATTTCCAGGGACCTGAGGAGGAGAAAAGTTATGAATCTCAGTCAGATATTGTATTTACAAGAAGACCTTGAACTGAATATACCATTTTTAGATATTTTTAGTCAAGCCGGCAACTTTGATTCCAAGGCTTTTCACTGCTGACCTCATCTTTTATAATTACTGGACTCCTGCATAGCACTGTTGACATACAGGGAGTCAGAAGTGCACAGCGGGAGGGTAGGCTGTGGGGAATCCAGAGGATCAGCAGGAGAGAACATTAATGGGGCATAGAGCAAGGGGGAGGGGGGTAATGGCAGTTTAAGGGGCAATTTGTGGAAGAGTAGCTGATATGGCTATGAAAAGTTTAGTTTGCAGGAAAGAGAATGAACAGCCATAGAGGGAGCACCAGATTTCAGGGGTCTGAGATGATGTAGGGGTTTAGTATTTTTTTGGAAGAGCATACACAGCTGTTGTGAGTTTACAGAACAGCTCACAGCAAGAGAGGAACCTCATTTCCTGTTCTTCCAACCAACCCATTCATAAACCGCACTGAACAGACATGGGCTCAGAACACCCTCAGGTGGCCGGCCACTGCACAGTGAAAGGAAACAGGACAATGGAACCCATTAAAAGAAAAAGAACGGTAGGTTCTGTACTGGCATCCTTCTGACTGAAGTTCATTGTGTCAGCATTTCTGCTACTTAGAATGGTGACTTAGAGCAAGACCTCATTAACTCTCCTATGTACGAGTAGTGTATGAGCGGTGTGACATAGACAATGTATGACAATGACAAGGAGCTAAAATCTCTGAATCAATCAAAAATCTTTCTGATAATTTGGATCATTTGTCAGCATCACAGGAAAGATCATGGCTAATGATAGGCTTTCCTCCCCCAGTTTGGTCAAACAGGGTTCACTGCACCCTTTGGGAAAACTAAGGTCGGTTACATGCTTTTCTGCTTGACAGAGGTGAAATAAACATTGCATTAACGCAGCCATAAATATTTTAATGAAAGTTAATGACAGGTTATCTCATCACAGGAACCAGCACTCACTGAGTGCACAGCAATCTTTTAATTTGACCTAAAAATACTGTGACAGTTATGGATTGCTTTGACTATTCTGCTTGGAATTAAACTCTAAAACATATTGCTCCATCCGTTCTTCTCCGTACCAGTTCAGACCAGTTGTGTGTTGCTGATTTTCATGCTAAATCTTTGCCAGAAGGCTCAGCAGAAGTCTACTGCTGCTTAGAGCTCCACATGGTATTAATGAGCAGAGGGACACACAGTCTTCTCTTCTCAGAGGCCTCTACCCTCTGTACTCCTACTCACTGACACCTACACACATACATACACTCATGTACTGGCAATATGAAGTGACGACGCTAACACGTACACATAGGAATTAACATGCTGACAGACAGAGATGTGGAAAATAACACGTACATACAAACACTAACGTGAATTTGAAAATGCTAATATACATATATTGAAACAAATGGGTACAAGCATGCTGCTGCAAGATTAATTTACTTAATTTTATAAAGAGGCATGCAGTAAATAAAGCCAAAGGTTGCTGTGTGAATGGATGTGTCTGTTTTCTGTGTGTGCAAAGCAAGAGAATAGGAGTAATCAAGCTGATGATCTACTCATCCTCAGGGTGTTGGGTTCTACCTGGAATGAGCACAGAAAGGAGTTTGTCTAATCAGTATAGTTAATGCAGCCAGGCAGAGCAATAAGAATAAGAAATAGTATGATGGATGGATGATGACAGAGCATGGCTTCAGCTACTGTGTATCATGTCATTTTGGATGACATTCTGTTTACACTGAATTTATTAACAGACCAATATCTGGGAGTACTGTAGGCCATTTGTCACATCTGTTAAATACAGACTGAGGCACATTTGGATTCATTTAAACATAACTAAATATTTGTAGCAGCAATAATTAGTGTATAGTGTTCATCCAGTGTGAGTATATAGTGGTGTGAGTGATGTAACCTTTAAATGTGAATCAAAGATCACTTAAATTAAAGTCAATGGTTTTCACATGACATTTTTGTGATGCTTTAACATAACTGGTGTGGTTTTGCCTGGTGGTGTGTGCACGTATGCTTGGTCTCTCTTTTATGTAAGCATATTATGAAACCAATTTGTGCCGGTCCAATGATAAAAGAGTTTTCGTTAATAGTCCTACCAGGCTCAGACATGTCATAACACAACACACACGTCTGGTGTGATGATTACTGAAACTGCACCTCCATAACCTCCACAGAGTCAGTCTAAGCTCACAGAGATAATAAATCTGAACAACTAATTAAAACCAAATGGACAAAAACAAACAAACAAAAAAAACATCCTTCCTTAAACAAAATAACAATACACAGCTCTTAATTAATACCACCAGTACGATTCAGTGAAGTATTTTAAATTGACAACACATTTAAAAGGTTGTTATGTTACGTCACTGTAGCCTATGAATTTTCCACCAGAGATCAATAAAGTCTTATGATTATACTGTGTTTTATGAATCTGACTCTAAAAAATAACTAGTAACTAAAGCAATAAAATAAATGTAGTGGAGTAAAAAGTAAAATAATTGCCTCTAACATGTAGTGAAGTAAAAATACGAAGTAGCATACTTAAGTACAGTACTTGAGTAGATGTACTTAGTTACTTTCTACCACTGCTAAAATGTATGTACAGTACTAAAGAAAATATCCTCAGTTACATTTCACCACAACAGATGTAAAGCATGTGCAATATGTCCACACACTGGCAGCAAATGTAAATAAAACCAGAGGAAGACAAACTAAAGACAGATCTGGGATAAGTTAGAGTTACAGGCTGGGAAAAACTAACCTAAATATCCACATGTTGGGTTGCAGCACTTACACTGACCAGCATTAACAAGGTATATGATGAGGTGATAAGCTGACAATTGGCCTGCTCTCAAAGCTCCAGTCCTCATTTCTTTGTAATCTCCAAGATTTCCACTTGCACATCCAGTTCCTAAAGCCCAGCATGACATGGAACAGAGGCACTGCAGTTTGTTTTATCAATAGACTATTCACTAATGACCTTTGCCCTTTAAGGTATCATCTCCTGCTGCATTAGCTGAGTTCAGGTCATGCTGAATTTGAAAGCATTGCTGCTTTCCCCAGTTTTAGGCCTCAGATATACTTGAGTCAGAAGTCAAGTGAGGCCTTGGAGTACAGACTGGTTGAAGTGTCTCTACTTAATTTCCACAACAATTTTTGTGTTTTTCATCTGTGTGACATTATAAGAGCTCATAATTTCTACAGCTAAATTTCTCCTGAAAGCATCTCAAGTGTATATTTCTGCACAATTTCCTCTTCTGTATACCCATTCAGTCATAAGAGTACAATCCAAAGTCTCTCTACTTGCACCTTCCAGTCTTTCTTCTAACTTTTTCTTTTCCTCGGTCTTCTGTATAGCTCCCATTGTGGTTCAGAAGAATCCCAGAGAGCAAAGAAAAACATCTGGAATTCACTATATTTAAACAACACACACAACACCCAGACACATACACAAACATCTAGACTTACACAAAAACACACCATTGCCCTCAAGCTCTTCTTCACACACCTGCTTATTTATGTACATAAGGACATCTGTGCATATGTGTGTGTGTGTGTGTGTGTGTGTAAGCTAGAGAGAGAGAGCATAGAGAAGAAAAGAGAAGAAGAATGTCTGCATTTGTGGAACTCAGTCAGAACATCAGCCAAAGATATTCATAGTGATGGCACTCATGCTAAAGGAGCTAAAATTACTCATCTGGATCGTGTATGTTTGTGATGTAAAAGTTTGTGTGTGATTGTTAGCATCAGCTTCAGATATTAAAACAGGTGTTAGGAATAGCAATCTGATCTGTCAGATTATCTATTATCTGTTGATGGATACTGATAACTACTTCAATGTACAAAAATAAGCATTTCAGATTCCCAGACAACTCCAGTCAGCCCCCCTGTGGCTGCTATTGGAACATGCAGATAATTATTTTTAAAAACTGAATGGCTCAGGATGGATTGATGGACATACTTGAGAGGGGTCCAGGTGTGGCCAGCCATGACTTGCTCATGCAGCAGATTATGACTCAGGTTCAGAACTCTCAAATGGACACAGCCTCTCAGTGTCTCTTCGTGCACCTCCCCAACCAGATTTTCATTCATTTCTAGCTTCTATATGAAAAAAGACACAGATAGACAGGGATTTCTGATTTGGGGCATCAAGGTAGAGTAGTTATTTTCCTGTTCTTTTCATGTAAATGTCTGGCTTGCTAAAGTGACCCTGAGTACAGTTCTGAATCCCAGCAGGCTCCTAACACTTAAAGGAGAATTTTTCTGACAAGATTCAGTGATCGATATCAGTGCACCTGTAGGGAGGGAGGGAGGCCCAGAGGGAGGGAACGGAAGTGATTCTTGTCCAGCTGGAGACCTGTAAGTTTCTGTAGAGGTCTGAAAGCCAGTGGTGACACACTGCCCTCATGAAGAGTATTCTCCTCCAGCTCCAGATTCAACAGGTTGCTCAGACCTAGAACAGAAGAATAAATATTATCATAACTCTCATGTATGTTTCTCTTTAATGTACACAGACAGGGCACCTACCTTTAAAACTGTGAGGGCTGATTGTACTAAGTTTGTTCCTGTTAATCTTGAGCTCCTCCAGAGATGGTGGCAGCATAGGGATCCTGGTTAGCTGGTTGCCATCTAGGTTCAGCTTCTTCAGAAAGGTCAAGTTCTATATGACACGCAGCCAGAAGAGGGCAACAAGGCCAGAATGATCAAACAGAAAGAATGGATACTTGTCTCAAAATCCATAATTTCCTTTCCCGACTTCCCAAGCAGGACACAATCACAGAATCCACAGAAATACACCAAATGGGAGAATGTCTAATCTGTGCATCATTTCCATGTTGTCTCACATGCTGTATTTTTAGTAAAGCCACTTTCTGTGGGTCTTCAATGAAAGCTGCTGTGGTTGATGTGTGTCCAGTGAAAGCAGTGAAATGCATCCTTTGCAGTATCCCTCTAGCCTGGCCATCACTCCTCTGTCATTACTGGGATGTGAGCAGAAACTGAAGGAAAAAAATATCCTCCAAAAATAATTTTCTTTTATTCTCCACACCATTGGCTGCAGCAGGTTTGCCCAACCAATACTGTGATAGTATGTGGACAGTGGTGTGTGATGATTGGTCAGACTGTGGTAGGCTGCCTCTGTGTGGTCAGGATCTGTGTTTGGCCCATGGTCATTTAGAGGTTAGACCAGAGGTTATTCTTAGAAAAGATTAGTTAATGCAATTTTCAGTGCTCTTTTATTACTGTAATGATACAGGATCCAGTCTACTTTTTATTGTAATTAGATGCAAAGTTATTTATAAAACCGACTTGTAGATCACAAGCTCAGTTATTCACATTTTGCAGGCTGCATATTCTCCATAAGAGACAGCACTTTGTGACAGTATCAACTGACCAGATGCAGTTTAGACCTGCAGAAGCAGAAATGCCAGTGTTGCCTTATAGTCACAAAGAAAACCAGAGCTGTTACAATTTTACATTTGCACCATCTTTGTTGAGGTTTTACACTTAACAGCTATAATTACTGAATGTTATAGTGGATTTTTTAACACCTCAAACTAATGCTCAAAATAGAAATACAAGCTGAAGAGTCTGAAACATCATTTTTTTTTAGCTATAAGTGTTTGTGGAATAATTCATCATTTATTTCAGTTTCCTTCCAATTATGTTGCACCAAAAAAAAAAACAAAACCCAGAACTTAGCCAATCTTAAGTGCAATTTTTTCCCTTTGGGCTTTGCAAGCTCTTGCAGTACTGAGGACAAATGCATGAGATAACACTGCATTTTACTAGTATAAAAAGGAAAACAAAAAACCTATGCACACATACAGACAAGAAATAAAAAGTTAGTAAAACTTATTGCCTGCAGGGGTAGAGTGGGTTGGACTGGAACACCAGGTCTGAGACTGCTAGCAATTTAATGGCACTGCTGACAGATGATATTGGATGTGACTGGTCTTGGGTGCGCTGCATCAGTAACACTTCACATCATGACACCACATCTGAATTTGTATCACATGACTGTGACACTACAGTGTTTTAAAGGAAGAACATGTATCCAAAATTAAACTTACATGTAGTGGATAATTGTACATTCAAGCACGATTTACTGTAATGTACACATAAATTAAATTTAAGGCGATTTACTGTAATGTACACATAAATTATGTGTTGTATTGTGATGTATTTGCAGTGTGTACTAAACTAACAATGCCAGTGTACACATCCATTTTGGATAGTGGCAGGATAAAGTTGAAATATGCACACAGAGCAGTGTTACTCACAGACAGAGGGTTCTGGTTGAACGACTCGTCGTCCAGTTTGTTGTCGCTCAGGTCTAGTGTGTCAAGGTTCATCAGGCCAGAGAAATCTTGTGGAGCCATGGCTCTGATGTTATTCTCTTTAAAGGTAAATCACATAGTATGATAATATATAAAAGTATATAATGTAAAACCTTGTGACGTGTGATAAGGGTCTTCACTTGACTCAAAAGGGAGGTCATGTCATGTTGACATATCTTTACTGCTACTTTTGTTCTGACATTCGTATACAGTAAATAATATAATCAGTCAGTGAACTTTGTTGGAAGCAAACAACACTTCACTTAATTCACTATCACTAAATAAAACTAATTATAAATAGGCCTAGATACGCTGTATATCAATGTAAATGTACGTCTATAAAATATGGTTAGTGTCATCAAAGTGGAAATCACGGCTACTGGCAATCTTAAAAAATAAGTCCACTTCTATTCTGTGCTATCCCACTAAACACAAGCATGTTCATTTTCCATGATAGATCTACTACTCCAGCACAGACACACACACACACCTGCCATGTCCAGTTTTGTGGCCTCCAGGTTGTTGATGATTGGCAAGTGAGTCATGCCAAGGCCCCTGCAGCTGATTTCTCTGCCAACGGTCTGACACTCGCTGAGAGGAGCCTCTGTAATGTTGTCTGTTTCCGTTTGGTTGCTGGAAGGCTGAGTCGCCTCTTCCTTTTCTTCTTTCTCCTCTTGTTGTTGTTGTTCTTCCTCTTCCTCCTCTTCTTCAGGTCTTTCTTCCACTTGTTGCTGTTGTTCTTTCCCCTCCTCCTCTTCTTCTGCTCCTTTCTCTTCTTGTTGCTGTTGTTCTTCCTCCTCTTCTTCTGCTTCTTTCTCCTCTTGTTGTTGTTCTTCTTCTTCCTCCTCCTCCTCTTCTTCTTCTTCTTCTTCCTGATGCAGAAATAAAAAAAAATTGGAAAGGAAATTACTTCATCAACTGTGTGGTGCTAAGAATTCAATCAGAACTATGGCTTAATTTGCACAAAAGCCTAACCTCCTCCTCTTCATCGTCATCGTCGTCATCGTCGTCATCATCATCATCATCATCCTCTTCTTCTTCTTCCTCCTCCTGCGCTTTAACTTGATCCATCAGCCTCCTCTTTTCAGCATGAAGTTCCTTGAGGACAGTCATGAGAGCGCTGGTCTCCCCTTTTCCACGCTTCCTCCAGCCCATTAGTGGTCGCCCCAAGCCAGCCTACAACAAGCAGCAAGACTGGCATCATAAACCAATTTTTATATATAAAAATACACAAAATCTTAAACCAAATAGGTGAAAAGATTTAAAAAAAACATGGCTTTCTTAATTTCTCAGCAGATTTCAGTGTCGAGTCATACTATTCTATATGCAGTGGCCTCCACTGTCGCCGCGTGTTTCCTTTTCCCCCAGGCTCCTCTCCTTTTTCTACCAGCCTCCAGCTTTCTGACATCAACTCTGTGCTGATTCTCCTCTGCCTCTATTTGGAGACGCTCATCCTCGCTCTCTTTTTCACCTATATGACACCAAGCAAAACAAACATAAATCAACAAAACAATGTCTTTAAAACTCTGATGTACAAGTAAAAAAAAAAACTAATTCAGTTATTAAAACATTTACTGGTCGAGAGGGTGCAGACAAAAAAGAACAAAGCTTACCAGCAGGGAAGGCTGCACTTGAAATGTGTGTATCCTGTAAGGTCATTTCATTTCCTGGTGGCTGAATGGTTGCTGTTTGCAATTCAGGTGTCTCAGAAGGAGCTTCAGAGTGTGCATCCATGTCATGCCAAGAACTTAGGGTTTGTCCTAATAAAGCTGTGGCACTCAGACAAATGATAATGCTCCACATCCTTGGTGCCTGCAGTGTTGGAAGTTTACTCAATTCAAACTATTTCAGAAAGGGAGGTCCAAAGCTTTTACTACAGATCTTCAGGGATGATTGGAGGCTGAAGCAAATCCTTAAGTGTAGACAGTCATGCAAAAGGGAAAAACCTTTGTCAGAAAGACAGCGATTCAGCCTAAAGCATTACTAAGATGTCTTGCACATGCCCAAAACCCAGAGTGAATGGTCAAATGAAAAAAGAGTTAGAGGACAGAAAGGAATCCCTAGGAGGTGGAGACATCAAGAAAATAAACTCTCACTGTTAATGAAGGCTCTTGTTCATCGTACCATGAAATCCACAGACTCACCCTGCCCCTCCTTGTCTCCGCTCTCTTTCACAACTGCCTGCTAACACTAGGTGGACAGACAAATTTGTGGAAATAAGTAGGCAGGGAGCAACAGATTGTAACTGAACACAATGACAGATTCTAGTTTATCATGTGATTTGATACACCAATTTTTGATTGCCTGTTAGTTTTGCTTTTCACTAGGTAGTCTCACAGTCTTGGACATTTCCAACACGATACTGGGTTGGTAGACAGTTGAGGTCAGAGTCAGCCTTGTTTGGCAAAGCTCTACTAGCATCTGTGTGTGAAAACAAACATGACCTCTGAGAAATGAACAATGATCTGTTTTTACATTCTGTACATACAAACTATCATGTACTCTGGAACACACGTATCCTCACACAACACCAAGCCTGGCAGATTCCGCTGGCAGAGCGCTGAATTGGGATTTTCACTGTGGGTTGAAACCTGCTGCCAGCCTCTATTTGCTCAGTAACCACACACACAAAATGTGTCAGAATGTGTGTGGATGATGTTGAGCCACAGTAAACTGCTTCTATGAAAGAAGAGTTCATTTTTCCAGTTTCAGTAATAACCATTTGAAAAGGATGGCAAAATGATGCATCAATTCTTGGCCATAATAGGGTTCAGTGTTTCTGTAGCTCAGTTGAGATGGAGCAAACAGCAGAAGACAGACATATTCCAAACAGCACACTGGACAAGTTAACACTCAACACTGAAAAACTCAGGTTCAGGTGTGCTCCTCCAAGGTAAACAGTGATGGGTCCAAAGCATATTCATTAAATTCTTGACAGGAACATACAGCAGCCTACTTACCACGTTCAACCTCTTAACCTCAGTCTGACAACACCCTGGGCTAATTTCAACTGTGGAGAACAGCTCTGATGTCTAGGGTATTCAACATAAATACTTAACCTGCTTCTCTGGGTACATTTGGTGGATTAAAACACAATGCACTTTTTACCATCACTACAGCGAACCATTTTCTCTACAACCTATACTTAACCTGCTTCTCTGGGTACATTCAGTGGATTAAACCACAATGCACTTTTTACCATCACTACTGCGAACCATTCTCTCTACAACCCAAGTATAGAAATACATTGTAATCTCACCAAGAATAAATATGACTTAGACAATCTGATCACTGCCAACTTTAAACAGTAAGAGACACATGTGGCCAACTTTCAGTGAAAAGTAACCCAGACTAAACATCTACAGCCACACTCTCTCTCAAGCTGTACTTGGTAATGGGGCTTTGGCTTTAAAACATCTGGCTGCCAACACACTGATGCAAAATGGATCGTGACCGACTAAGCCCATTTAGTAATTAGCACTAACCCATTAAGTACAGCCAAGGACGGAAGCATCCTGACAGTTATTTGAATTTCATAAACAAAAATGGGACCAAGTTAAATGTTACATTAGAGGAAACAAAGCAATTGCATTCATTATGGAGATACAAGTCAGGAAAATTATGTAGAAATCTGTACAATAGTGACATTCTTTCTAGGGTGACCATGAAAGTCAAGGAATTGTGTCAGCATACAGTCATCCTCAGCTTACCATTGCATTTCACTGAATGCTTGAAATATTTCAGATGTGGACATGAGTGGTGGAACTGACACTGCCATCCATAAAGCTAGAGCTAGCATGATTACATATAAAAGAAACCACCCCAGACATTCACGCAATTATTTTTAATTTAGCATATTACAGCAATGAAAGTACAAGATACTTTGTCAGGAGTTGAGAGAAGTGCTCAAACAGTTCATAACTGGCTAAACATTTCACACTCGGCTACAGATTAAGCGTTAAAGACCAACTGAAACTAGCAAACTGTGCTTCATAGGAAAGACATGAATGCCAGCCAAAGAGGAGACATGGTTGTCAGGAATGTGACAATGAGGGCTGGAAGGCAACAGAAGTCAGTGGATAACAACATGTACAGGCTGTTTTACGTGACTAGCACTACATTTATAGTATGGGCTGATCTGAGCAACTTGCAAGACACCATCTGAAAATGGCATACAAGGAATGTCATCCCAATAATAACAAAACCCATCTGGGAAGAAGTTACTCAAAGCCATAAACACAAAAAGCCTGGACAACAGTGCACTACCCTCCCGACTTTACTCTGATTAGTAGGGTCAGCATGCTGCACTGAAGTCAAAGCCACAGGTGGCCCTTGAGCACAGAAGTTAATAGCAATTCATGCCAGGTAGATGCAAGTTGGGCAAGAAGCTGGTTGTGACTGAACAGAGCAACAAGAGTAAGATCAGATGCAGTTCTTAGTTTGCAAAGGTCTGACGGACAGCTTTGGCGATGTGCTTGGCGCTGATGCCAAAGCGGTCAAGCAACTCTTGGGGCTTTCCGCTGCGGGGAACACCAGATACTGCTAGCCGGGTCACAACAATACCAGGCTCACTGCCCACTGCTGATAGCACTGCTTCACCAAGACCACCTGAACAGGGGAGACAGATAAACCAAAACTACATCAGTACATAATGCTGGTGATTTTTAAATTGGCACATTCACAAAGCAAAACCAATCCAGATGACATGCTGTCTAGTTGCACCCCAGCAGACCGTGAAAGATATCAGCACAAGACACCAGGTAAAATCTCCATCTAGTAACCATTAACTGATCATGGCCCCTGATGTATTCTTTAAGAACAGACACCTCAAAAGGCACATGACAGAAAGCTGCAGTAAGGTATTCAAGCACAAAAACACAGCAACTACCCACCCTCCTTATAGTGGTCCTCTACAGTGATGATTTGTCCTCCTGTGGCTTTGGCACTGGCCAGAATGGTAGTGGCATCCAGGGGCTTGATGGTGAACGGGTCAATCACACGGATGTGTATCCCTATTGAAATACATTATGAAACCTTTAATGGACCATTTTTGAAATCAGATCAATTCCTACATACATCCACTAGGAGGCTGCATTGGTTTACCTTCACTGGCCAACATATCGGCAGCAGCAAGGGCCTCATGCAGAGTAATACCAGCTCCAATCACAGTCACCTTATCACTGTCAGACTGGCGCACCACCTAATCACACAAGAACATTTCCATGTCAGTTTTTGTGGCATCCATTCCCTTTCTGCTGCCAATATACAAGTTGTCTCACAAGGAGTAGTGTGTAAAAAAAAAAAAAAGGATCATTACTTTGGCTATGCCCACTTCAAATTTCTCATCTGGCGAGTAGATGACTGCAGTGTCTGGTCGACTGGTACGGATGAAACAAATACCCTGAGAATAGAGTGGCGTGTTAGAACATGAACATTATTACTCCCATGTCGTAATGAAGAACTTGCTGGGCAAGTTGTACCACAAGGTGGCCTACCAACCTTTGTGTTGGCTGCCATCTCAACAGCCCTTTCTGTTGACACACCATCACTAGGGTAGAACACAGTACACGTTGGGATTGCACGGAACATGGCCAAATCTTCAAGGGCCATCTGGGAGGGACCATCCTCACCTGAAGGCAGAGTAAGATTTGTCAGCAAGGTATACACTGGGTATGTTCCATTTGCCATGCTGGCTTGCAAAGTAGGGTCAAGAAAACTTGTTTAAATGAGTGCAGGCAGCACACGACAGTGATACGATGCCAATCTTCAATTGGCCAATAATGGTAATCTCAGAAAATACTTTCATATTGAGCAATACGATATTTCTGCTTTTGAGCACAAAGTGAACAACACTGATTACTGCTCCAAAGAGCCCAGGCCACCATCTTAATATAAAGTGTAATTTTACAAGTCTAGATTTTATTCAGTCATGATTTTACACAGGCCAGATCAAGGAATTAATTCAAGCTCAGCATGATACATATGTCCAATCTGCAGAGTTTTTGATTCATGATCAGGAGCTGCAGGCTACTGGGAATATATGGTACCCACATTTTCTGACAACAGGTTGCTGTTCACCATTCTATCAGACTCCATGCATCGTTTTATTGATGTGCCGCAATTTGCTGTTGCTTCAGTTTGGCAGTTGAGCTTTTTCATGTGCTAGCGACAATACAGTGTACAGCTTACCAATTGAGACGCCGCAGTGGGACCCCACCAGGTTGACATTTGACTGAGAGATAGCTCCCATACGGATCTGATCATAGGCTCTAGAAAAGAAGGCTGCAAATGTGCTGGCAAATGCAACTGTGCGGTCACGGGTGGCACAGCCCATGGCCACTCCTACCTACAGCAGCAAAGACATCAGTAATACAGGTTAGTCTGAATGACAGTGGCTGTGATTATGCAAAATATGGAGGCTCATGTAAACTGGTCACAAGTGACAGACTGGGATCATCAGGCTAGAGAGTGAACCAACGGCTACTCCAATTCAGAGCAGAGTGAGCCAAGTCTGTGTTTTCTGTCATGAGGCTCGACAAATCAGTTGCTCAGTCAACTTGAACCAGCTGTTGCTGAAAATCATGCAGATTTGCAAGAACCATTACCAACAAACAGGTTTTCAAAAAATAAAGAGGTTTAATGGAAAAAAAAAAAAAAAAAAAACCACCACCAAAAACAAAACGGTCAGTCACCGCAAGGTGCAGCAACAGCATCATGAGTATAGAGAACACCCCTGAGGAGTGAGATGTTACATACCATATTCTGCTCAGCAATGAAACACTCAATGTAGCGATCAGGGAAGGCCTTCTTGAAGGTCTCTGAGAAGGTGGAGTTTTTGGTGTCTCCATCAAGGGTCACCACTCTCTGGCTTGCCTGGCCTAGTTTGGTCACAGCCACACCGTATGCTCGCCTTGTTGCAATCTGACAGGGCAGAAAGGATATAGGTGTAAGCAGACAGATTAACAAGGTAATCAATACAATACTCAACATGTGGGTTATCTCAGGTGCTGTTATTAGTATTAGGTAAGGCCTCCACCCACTAGCATTAGTGAACCTTAACCCACCAATAAAGGGCTTATAGTAATGTACCATTACTATAAAATGTTTCAGCTGTTCCTGAATCTGTATTCATAACAAGTGACAACATACCTTTTCTCCCTTCTTGTATGCTGGGGGTGAAGGCAGGGAGATGGTGCTAAGGTCTGCAGGTGCCGTGTCATCACTGGGCAGTTGAGGGCACAGAACCTTGTTGGGGACCTGGATCTGAGACTGAAGATCCTTCAGGAGGTCATCCACTAGGTCCTGAGGGATGGGCTTGCCATGCCAGTTTTCAAGATCCTCAATATCTATGGCCAAAAGTTGACACGGTCAAACAAATTTGGACAACACAAAAAAGAAAAAAGCGCAAGTAGTATTCATTATGTGAAAGCCTCACTTTTGAGTCCTTTGCCCTTGAATGTCTTGGCGACAATGCAAGTCGGTTTGCCCTTGAACTGCTGAGCCTGCCAGAAAGCTTTGCACAGCTCTTCCACATCATGTCCATCCACAACATATGTGTTCCACCTACACAAAAACCATGGCTTGAATTTAAGAGCACACCATACAATATTAACCCAAAACAATGCATCAACTAGTCATGTTCAAGACAATTTCAACCCAAGACAAGGAAGTTACACAGTAATGCAGATTAAACGTATACCAACAGCTTCTGAAATTGTGTATACCAAGGTCCCAATTAAACTAAACAAATGAATCAGGTTTACATTTGACAGTGCATTTACAGACATTACCATAAATTCGATGAAAGGAAGCACGAGTTAGTACTGACCCGAAAGCTTCACAGCGTTTGCGGTAGGTCTCCATGTCGTGCTGCAGGGGCGCAGGCTCACTCTGACCAAGCCGATTGACATCTAGAATAGCCACCAGGTTGTCCAGCTTGTAGTAGGAGGCAAAGGCCATGGCCTCCCACACAGAGCCCTCTGAACACTCTCCATCACCAAGCAGGCAGTACACACGGTAACTACATTGTACAAAGGCTAATATTAGTGTTCTCCAAACAACCAGCAACAATTTTCATTTATGCTAATTTAGCCACAAAAAAAAAAAATGCATCTGGATGCCTCCCAAAATCCAGACATCTCCACCTATACTGTGGAACAAACCTCTGAATTACAAAATCCATCATTTGTCCATTTTATGGATAAATGATGATTCCTCACATCATTTATTCATTTTATGGATAAATGATGTGAGGCTCGACAGGTATAAATCCAAAAAGGTACAATTCCTGTTGGCAATGGATAGGAGCAACTACCCTAGACTGTCAGTCTAATATTTCTGGCATTGGAATACAACTGTTGCGTGACGGATACCTTTTGGCACTGGTGCATGCTCCTGCCAGGGAGTGATTTGACAGTTTCAACTACAGATTTATCTGGCTAGCAGATTAGGGTGCATTAGAAACCATTTCACCATGTTAGGGCATTACACTCTAGTTTAAACAACACTCAGTCAACACAGTATGACATTTCACCTCCACAGAAACGGGCCACTCAACAGGATAGGTTCACATTATTTCAACCGCCCATGCCCGTATCGATATTGAAAGATCGTCTGCTCCAACGGTTTATCCTGTCAACACTGACCAAGAGATTCCTTCTCACAGCAATCAAACACATTCTAATCTTCAGCTGAAACTACTGTGAGACTTTAGGAGTCCCAAGTTGCACAATTCAAGAGCAAGCCTGTCTTCTTGAATACACTTACTGTAGGTTTTGTTACATACTAACCTGGATTTGTCAAAATGTTTGCCGGTGTAGGCCATCCCACAGGCTGCCCCAAGACCCTGTCCCAGAGATCCTGTTGCCATATCAACAAAATCCAGTTTCTGGTGAATAGAAGAGGTTAAGTTATACAAGACAGAGTGATGGGCTTATATATTTAAGTTCTCAAAGGAAAGATGAAACTACAAAATGTTCAGGATTCTTCACTTACTGGTGTGGGGTGCCCCTCCAGGTCACTGTCAATCTTGCGTAGGTTGACCAGATCAGATTCCTTCACAAAACCTGCCTCTGCCCAGACAGCATACAGGATAGGTGCAGCATGACCCTGAGATGAGGGAGAGGAAACTTTAAGACACTGCAGTCTTGCCAAATGTCAAGGGCACTGATCAAATTAAGAATACCAAACTCACACACACACCAAAAAAAAAAAAAAAAAAAGTACGCTCACCTTGGATAGTACAAAGCGATCATTGCACTGGTTGCGAGGATCATCTGCTTTATAGCGCATTGTGTGGAAGAAGAGCACAGACATGACCTCTGCCGCACTGCAGCATGATGTGGGGTGCCTGAAGACAAAGGACAGCCAGTAAAAATGCCATCAAGGTAAAAAAAATTAAATAAAACTCAAATCCACTCCATGCACATACATGCGCTTCATCATTCCAAACGCTTTTGCTCGAGCTGGGTACTTAAGTCTGACAATAGGACACTTCTGAACACCTGTCAGTCATTCCAGTAAAGCAGCACAGTCTGATAAACTTCAAAACACTACTGCATTAGAAGAGACCCTCCTTTTAGGATTGCCACTTATGTGAGTAGATTGATATTTATACCACAATTCACACCTTGGTTAAGTTGCCACACTCCAAACAAACTACATAAGAATTTGTGAAACTGTTAGTTGCTGCACAGTGGTCCAAGTATTGAAACATATCCACATTACCCAACAGCATCTCAGCTTCCCTATCTGGGTTAAGGTACAAGCAGTATTATTTCAACCATGCAGGAAACTCACCAGTGGTGGAAACCAAGCACAGTACTTCAGTAAATCTACTCAATGACAATGAGGTATTCTTACTCATTTTAATTTCTGCTACTTCATAGTTTGAACTACATTTTAGAAGCAAATGGTACTTTTTACTCCACTACATTTATTTTAACTTCAATTACTAGTTATCATTTCAGAACCAAATTTTATACACAAGAGTATAATAAAACATCACTGATCTGTGGTTGAAAACTCAAGCTAGCCAGCAGTGACTCAGATTAAATGCATATAAGCTAGTTAAAACTAGCTCCCCATTTACCAGCAGCAACCTTAAATGTTATGTACACAATAATGCATCAATACAATAATACGATATACAGGAATGGGAAATGAGCCATTTTGCATACAGAGCACTTTTAGTATTTTGCTTTGATGCCATAATACTTTAGGACTTAAAGTTCCTGCCTTCAGTGTGTTAACAGTATTTGTACACTATGGTATTGCTACTTTTACTTAAGAAAAAGATCTGAGTACTTATTCCACCACTGGAATCTGCTTATTCAAACATGTATCATGGTGGCTGTTAAATTTTAAGACCACAACCCCGGTGCTCCATTTACCCCTTGTCCTTTGTTGACAGACAACCTGTAGAGAAATAAAAGCCATAACAAAAGCAGCATTTGAGTCACAATGAGGAACAATGTGCCGAGTGTGGGATGTTAAAACTCAAAGGCATCCTCTGTTAGAGACCATCCCATCAAAATGTGTAGAAGTCCAGACAGTCAGTTGTGTGACAAGAACAGGTCCAGACTTTATATTGATGCAGTTATCCTAAGACAAAGTTATACAATACCAGATTTCTTGGAGGACAAAATGAACAATATATTCATAACCATGTGGACATGTTGATTGACTGTTACAACACACAGGTTAACTTGGGTTGTCATCCTTAACTGCATGTCCTTCATAGTATTCTGGTTCAGATTCTCAGTCTAGGGAAAAAAAAAAAAAAAGATGCAAAACGAAACCAAAAATGTTACATGACCAGTTTGTTTTCTGTGACAAGCTAAATATCATGAAAATATTTTAGTGCAAATCTGCCTGCTTGACTCAAACTTAATTTGTCAGCACATGCAACTGCCAGCTAAATAGTGTCAAAGGAGAAGCATCTGAACCCCAGTATTTCAATTACAGGCATTTTTTTTCTAATTTGAAAAGGCAAAATGGTTTGTTTGTGATGTGTAGAGTAATAAAGACTCAAAGCAATCTTGACAAAATAAATGAGGGCAGTCAAAGCCATCTCTAGCAATGAAGCATGGAGCAATGAAGACTGCAGAAGTGATGAAGCCAAGCCCCTGTCAAAAAGGAAGCCACAGAAACTAACGTTATTCCAGCTTCACCCCAGGTACATTTCCTATAGTGAGGGGGAAGCAGTCATTGTTGCAACAACATTTCTGGGAATGCGGCTTTCAAGATGACATACCAAAAATTCCCTTATGACTAGCCATGTATGGGGCAACACCTGAAACAACCCAGGGCATCAAACAGAAAAAAAAAAGCCTGAAATTTTGAAGACGTCTTCCGGCTGGCGCAGTTACAACCGGGCGTATAATTTACGAGATCTACTTGCATGATCACGTGACTTCTTGTTAGCTACTGAAAGCACCTCGGTGCTAATAACTTGTATCAAATGACTGTACTACTAGCTATATCAGTTATTAGAAAGCATAAATTCGCTGCTTGATTCCTCCGACTACAACGTGACATTCTCAGTTATTGACACCATCATTAGCTTTCACTTTTTAGAACCTTTTCAAAAAAACACAAACTGTTTGTCTATGCTAGCATTAGCCTAGATTGTAACTGCTAATTAACTCAAAGTAATTTAAAAGCCTTCATGAAAAAGAGCATAATGACTTGCTATTTGTCCACTGATGCCACGCTTTCCACCGCGTGAAGATAATCAGCAGCACGTGCAGCCAGGCCGCACAGGTGAAGCGTGCGTAACCTGTGCAGCCAGGCCACACAGGTGAAGCGTGCGTTAACCTACGATAACTTTACAAGACAACACATGTCTGCGTATGGAGCCTTGTGATTGTTAACAACTTCAGCTAACACGACCACCTTTAAATAACTTACCCAGACTTAGAGGCGCATGTAGCCTTGATGGAGTTAATCCTAAGCTTGTTAGCTATATCTTTCAGCCCCTGCAGAGTTTTTTCATCAGGTTTGTGGTAGCTCGTCATGGTTTCTAAAATATTTCTCGAGTTGTGCCCGCTGAGAAGTTAATTATGCTATTTCAGTCACAGACGCTTCCCGCTTTCAGGTTCAGAGCTTTGCCAGGCCGATGCTAGTTGGTCGGGTGCAAGCCTACAAGGACACGAACGACCGAGGAGGAGGAGGAATTAGGGAGAGGAGGGGGGATTTATGATGTCTCCTCCAACAGCCACTCCTACCTCATCCAATCATTGGAGGAATAGTAGTGGCGCAGGTTGCTTTCAATAAATTATTTTCATCTTATAAGACACAGATATGAGGTTATTTGGCTCGTATTATGATCCTTTTATAATGAGCAACTCACCGAAACATCAGTAGCAAGAGCATAGACTGAGCATACCAAAATAAAACACTAGTATCAGTAAAGGAAGTCAGTGTGGAGAACTGTACAGTAAGTTGTTATATGGCTTTGATGTGAAATTATTAAGCTTTTTATAGTTATTAAACTCTTAAAAGACAGTTGGTGATTTTGAATATATAGTCAATCTATTCGGTCACTGTTCCTTTAACGCGGCAGCTGGATGGCTGCCAACAGGGAAATACTGACAGATTTTGCCCTCTCATCCTTACTCTGGAACATACAGGTCAGTTTGGCAGCAACGCATGATCTACATACAAACTACGTTATTGTTCCTCGGTCACTGAAACGTTGCTTTCCATTCCAACTGATTAACTGCATTTGTATGTCAGAAATAAACATTTTCACATTTTTATTGTGGAAAAATAAAGGGACTGCATTAATGAGAGAACATGACACAAGCAGCCTTATTGCACAAATTTACAGATAATGCTTCGCATATGATACTTTGCCAAGATGTGCAATACTCTTCATAAAGAAAACACCATAACTATCACCCACCCACCCTCTCAGATAAGGAAGTCAGCAATACTCTTCATAAAGAAAACACCATAGCTATCATCCACCCACCCTCTCAGATCAGGAAGTCAATCTCTTCCTGGTTTTAGCCATCACTACAAATCTTATGGCTTAGGTAGCAGTTTCCTCTTCTTTAAGTTCCTGAAATGATATACATGCCATTAGAACCATCAGCAAAAGGATCAGTTTTTGTTTGACCTTGTCACAAGGAGAAATAAGATGCTTCTTAGCTTTACCTTAATTATCTCCCAAGCCTCTGCTCTCTCCTCTGGAGAGACAAGCTCTTTGTCAATTCGCTCCAACTCTGGCGCAAGAATCAGTACACTGAGCCGGTAGTCTGTCGTTTCCACAAGGGGGTTCTCAGAAAGGACCAAAGTGCGTAGTGTTTTTGACACAACCCTAAGCTGCTGCAGGGCACTCACCTCTAAGATTGTATTTCCTCTAAGGGAGAGTGAGACAGAGACAAAAATATATAGGATGTATAATGTGGGATATATATAAATTTATCTGGTGTTTTATTGAACTGATAATGGTAGCACCATGTTGCTCTGATCTGTCCTGTTGTGATGCAGCTGTGTACCTGACATTGAGGTACTGGAGACACTTCATCTTGGGGTTCAGGCCACCCAGAGTATCTAGCTGGTTGTCTCGAAGGTGAAGAGTAGTGAGGCGCTCAAACTTCTCCAAGCCCTCTAGATGTTTGATAATGTTTTGGGCCTGAATGGAGAGTGAGAATGTTTCCAAGTGCTATTCTTTGGTTATTACATGGGTACTAACTAAGAATGTTAGTGCTATTATCTAAGTCAATGTAGCTTAATTACCAGATATAATTGCTGCAGGTTGGGAAGGTTGATGCTATCAATGGTATCCAACTGGTTTCCCCTTAGCTCCAGAGTTACCAGGTTGGCAAAACAGCCACTCTGAAGACCACTCACTCTCTTAATACTGTTACCTGCCAAAGAAGTTCCAAGATATAATGCCAAGACCTTTCCAAAATATACACAGTTATTTTATTAAAGCATTGCTTATTGACAAGAGTTTGTTATACCCAAAACTGAATGGTAACATTGATAACATGTGGGACAGTAAACACAAGCATGATCAAACAAACCATTCCTATGTTATTAACTGTGGAAGTTAACCATTCCTCATTTCACAGACCATTCACTCACAAAGAAAACCCAACAGTCCAACCTGAAAGACTGAGGCTCTCTAAGGCAGGCCCAACCAGCCCTTCCAGGTCTGTCAGCCGATTTGCGGCCACACTCAGCCACTGCAGGTAGCTCAAATGAGCAAAAGGTTGTCCTCTGAAGCATGACAAAGCATTTTTGTCAACCTACAGAAGAAGAGTTGCATTCGCGATTTACCATCAGTTAAAGTAAATGATGCAGATAGCTCTAAAGGCATCTTTTTCTAAATAAATAAAGAAAAGAGCTCCTTGCCTTCAGCCAAAGCAGTTGGGTCAGTGATGCCAGAGGAGAAAGATCAGTAAGGTGGTTGTTGGATACATCCAGAAAACGTAGGTGAATATAACTGCTGATTGCTGCTATGTCATGCAGTCCTCTAAGGAGTATAATGATGACAAATGGAAATTTGTATTAAATCAGAGGAGCTTTAGACAGAATTAAATGAGGATAACTTAAAGTTACAGGGCAAAGGTGGCTAAGTTTGCTTTTCATTTCTTTGACTGCTTACTTGTTGTTTAGATTCAGTTTTATAAATGCATGTCCCATTCCATTTCCTGTTCGGCACAGTAATGAGAGCCCCTGACTTATGGTTTCTTGGGTCAAATGGCAAACCTGTATAGGTGGAGCAGAGAGATGGAAGAAATCAAAGATTGCATTTGTCCAATGTGTGGTAAAAACACACTGGAAAAATGTACCAATGTATATGACACTATGCATTGGGCCCTGGCCAGACACAAAGCCCCTGCATGTCAGAGCTTCAGCACCAGCTATAGAACTTTCTTCCCATAAACTGAGCCTCTCATGTAGCCCTTCCTAACATAATAACCTGAAGTATTGTTTTCATTGTGCTTTCTGAGAGCAAAACATAGCTTCAGTGGAAGTGCAGCCTCCAAGGACAAAACAGTGGTTCAACTAGTGGTTACATGTTTGGCTCCACAAGTCTTAGGATTAGCACACCTCTAGAGTCCCCATCCTTTCACCTAATGTTGTGGGCTACACCCGGTGCACTTCATTACACTTGACACAAGATGAACCATGAGGCCTCTGGGGCTTTAAAGGGGACTCAAGGCGGAACTGAGCCAAATCAAAGACCTGACCAACCTTATATTAAGGGTAGATGAGTAGGTTATAAAAAAAAAAAGACTGGCTTTACTTATGGCACCTGTTTAAACCAGCATCCTGTATCAGTAGTAGTTTTAGTAAAACCAAGCATGATTTGCAATAAATTGGGTAAAACTGTTAGGAGTCCAACTTCCAAATAGCCACTAGGAAGGAAAGAAGGATGGATGGGGTGTGGGGGAGCAAATATAATTAATCTCATGATTCCTTATATAAATGTCTTCAGACGTTTTTCAGATAGTTAAGCTACTGTAAGTAACTTATACCTTCTCGCTTTCTTCGATTTCTTGATCTTCCTGCCACGTGTCCACATCGGATAAAACAGCATCTTCATCTTCCTCATACATCTTGGTCGATCTGGTGTGTTTTCACAGAAAGTCGGTGGTCACTGCTCCAGACCAGCTGATAGCTGACAAGTCATTTCTAACTCTCAACTAGCGTTACGTTTACGTTAGCTAACGTAATGTTACCAGTAGCGCTAGCAGCCCTTTATGCGACCGCTGCAATTAAGCCTGTCAAGTTACAGCTACTTACCTGTAAACCGATTTACATTACAACCATAACCAAGATGCCAAAATGTAACAACCCGTAAGTAATCCTAAGAAGCTATTGGCAACTATTTGTTTTGATAAAGCTAACTGCACTTTACGTCTGACTTTGTCTACAAGCAGCGACGGCCGCGTGTGTTGCTGTTGCCATGAAAACTCAATTATTGGCACAGACCACGAGTTTAAGCCTCATTTAAAGGGAAACACAAATATCTGGGACAACAAAATGCCTATACACCTATACAATTTCTGCAGGTCAAGAAGTTGCATGAGAGCCCTCATTCACAAGAGTCCTCATTGTATTGCTCTTTTAAAACCACAGATGCAACAACAGCATCGGAAATTTCAAGTGATGTGTCGAAATCTTTGGCATGTTACTCTTTAGTGGTTTGACTATACAAAACGTCAATAATGATGAAAATGTGCCATTTTTGATTAAATTTACGTGAGCTGAAACACATTGAACAAACCAAGAAATAAAAAAATAACGTTCTCCAAAGATAATTGTATTATATTGAGTTCATACTTGCAAGATGACAGACATTTTACATCCACATATTAGTGCTAGTGTGGCCCTGTCCATATCATTGGGCCAGTCTCCTAGCTCCCACTGCAGTATAAAAAAAACGCTTCTAAAATGTATACACAGTTCATGCCTCGAATTCATTCACTGAATGACAAGGCATATAGCTTTACATTTAAAAAAAAAAATCTATGGTGCATAGACATTAATATTAGAAAATACCACAAAGACCTACTGATCTTTCATTTTACAATAGCAAATGGTTCCCACACACAAGCTGTAAAAGAAGAGAACTCAAAACTGCATCATTCGGGAACAAAGCAAAAAAAAAAAGGCGCATTCTGTGCAATATCCTGACGTCCATTGCTACAGGATGAGTTCATAGAAGTGTATTACCACTGTTGAGGTAATTGTAATGTCAAACCAAAATTAAGAGGTTTATCTATAGACATCCATATTATGGTAATGGTGATGTGCTGTGTACTGGGCGTTGTCTTGTCTGGATCAGGAATTTGGGGTATCAGAGAGAAGGCTCACTCCATTTGCATATTGCGGAGCAGAAGTCCTTTTTTCACACCTCCCTGCAGCATCCTGGCACCAAGACTCATGCCTGTGATCCCACCACTAAAGAGAGGGGAAAAAAAAAAAAAAAAAAAAAACACTGAGTGCACACACACACAAGCCTGTAAAGAGATGGTTATATCCTGCATTGTTAGCAAATTGTTGTATTGGCTAGAGTAACAATCAGTATTGACCAACAACAAACAGGAACATCACCGTAAATAGCTGCAGTCAGAATAGAAAATCCTGACTTGAACAGGACAAGAGAAAATGCAATGCAGAACCCAGCATGTTGTATATGACCACTCTGGCACACAGCTGTACACCTGAAACAACTTTATAAGATCAGCATCGAGAGTCTGCTACTTCAGTACTGCTTACACAGGGCTAAACTTCCTCTTTTTGGAATCAGGAACTTCGGGGCCATCTGCAAGTCTCTGTAACCAAAAAAAAAAATAAGAAAAAAATATCTGTACCAACTGCACTCCAGCAATAAACATAGTTATTCTATGTAATGTTGTCTAACTCCTATAGTCAGACCCTGCAGCTTGACCAACCTCTTTTCCTAGAGCTTCCTGCTGGGTTCTTCTCTGTTCCAAATTTTGCTGCATGCAGACATAAGAAGGAGAAAGTTTAAACATGATTAAGAAAGGAATGTCCTTCATTTGAGCTATTACCATTTTGGATTGGATAAGAGACAGTTTAGAATGCATCAGACAACAATTTAAGAGAATGCACTGAGAAGAAGCTGGATTTCCAACCAGGAGTGAACAAATACTCCTTATCCTGATATTTATGTAGTGGTTGTAATGGTGTGAAATTAGTGTCACACTGTTTATGCAGCCACCTTATGAAGCTCAGAGAGCTGCTGGTGCCTGATGAGAGCCTCCTTGCTGGGAAACTGTCGCCTGCACAGCAGACAGGCCAGTTTCACCCAGTCTGTCATTCTCCCCTCCTTCTCATCTTTCTCGCCTCCTTCTTCTTCACTGTCAGTTTCTCCACTGTAGGCTGGGACCAGACCCTGCTGTGGAGGAGGGGAATGCTACAAATGAAAGACACATCGTCAGCGACTGAAGAAAACAGACAAAAACAGATAAGCACATCACTGTGGCCATGTCCTTACTTCTGAGCTTTGTCGGATCTGATCCAGAAAAGTCTGTGGCCGTTCAGACAGTGCCCCCTGCAGATGAGAAAAGCCAAGTGGGATTACCAGGTCAGTTAATAAAACCTTATCTAATGTGGACATTTCTCTTATCACTGGCACTGGAGCAAGCCAGAGTCCTCTGGTCTGGTACATTTTCCCCACTCACTATGATACTCTGTTACTAAGCAGGTGTGTCTGTGTGAGGGTCATGCACCTTTTTCTCCAGAACAGCATAGCCTGCATCAGCACTAGCAGATTCGCGGCGATCATCTAGGTGACTGTGGCCAGGTGCCCTAGTGTAACCAGGGGGCAGTGCTGAAGAGCCAATGGCAGAGGAAGAGGAGCCAGAACGCATGTTCTCTTTCTGTCTATTGAGACTCTTAGCCCAGCGTTCCATATCTTTGGCAATCTATTAATATAAATCCCAAAAGATATATGTTAGCCAGTTAAATGGACTCAACAGACAAAGATTTACAACTTTTTAATGAAATATTCAACAACATAATCATCACATAATGTAATCCAACTTTACAATTAAGCCTTGCAATAAATGCTACCTTGGTGAATCTGCAATTTTCAGTTTTTTGTTGGGAACAGATGTACTGTATATCAGAGGTGTTAAGTAACTATGGCAATTATAGCCATAGTATTTTAAATTAATCTATAGTGTATTATATTGTCAAGTAAAGAGCAAAATGACCAAAAGAAAAGGAAAAAAGCTGAGGTTAACTTTGAAATCCATAGCTCAGTACTTGTACTTGTGTCCAGTATGCAGAATACCTGTTGAGCAGTTTTACTTTTGGGTTTGTCTTTTTTCTCCTTGCTGCCAGGGGTAGCAAACAGTGAGTCTGAAGGGCCTGTACCATCACTTGTGGGAGCACCTTCAGTGTTACACTGGCTGGCAGCAGCAGTAATGTAGGTATGTTTCTCTCCATCCCAGTACATGTACTGCTGAGTGTGAGGGTTGTAGTAGTACTGCAAAAAAGGAGGGGCACATAAAACCACCCTGAAGTGCTAAAGAAGAGGACACATTCAGAAATGTTTTTCAAATACTGGTGGCTTAAAATTTAGGTTGCGGTACATTTCACCACTTTACCTGGGAGTTTGGGTCATAGTAGAGTCCCGTGAGTGGGTCGTAGTAGTAGCCAGAGCTTTCATCATACTGGTATGTGGACACATCTGGAACAGCTACAGCCAGAGACACAGGACATTTGCCTCAAGGTCAAAGACCACATTTTAAAACCATGAGTTAATTATAAAAGGTAAGCTGGATGGCTGATTTTAATCAGCAGGTCCATTTTTCATATTCGTTCAGTTGAACACGACATGAACACCTCCAGCTGTTCCACTGTATGTCAAAACCACTGCTAACATATGAACACCACTGTTGAATACATTTCAAAAGCTCAGCCGAACTTCATTAAAAGAAAAAAATAGTCTTAATTTGATGGTGTGGCCTGACTGCTGGTACATCTATTTGTAATTTTCAGTTAGGGTGTTCATTCTTTACAGCTAATTCTTAATTCTGTCTTTACAGCACAAACAATCTGCTCGTCTGCAGGTAACACTGAACATAGAAAAGCCTTACGGTATTGCTGAAGCTCATGTTCAGTGCCTGGGGTAGCAGGTTGGCTGGGGGTAGCTGGCTGTGGTTTTCCCACTATCTCAATCTGTAGAGGGACAACACTCTTAAAAAGAAGAAGGTAATGGCAAGAATAAATGCAAAAAATAATACTGTACCTGTGTGACTGGTGTGGTCACAGCTGTAGTGATGACAGCTGTCTGTGTATGAGCGAGAGGCTGCTGCACAACCGCTGAGGCAGATTTCACTGCCTCTGATGAAATTGCAACTGCATATGGATAGGCACACACCAACAAGTGGCTTAAGAACACATTAAATTCAAATTTATACATCTATGTAGATTATATGGGTAATATACACTGTATTATGTGATACGAACCTGGGGCAGCTCCTACTTTGTATACCCCCATCAGGGCTGCTCCTGCACTGGGTAAAACAGCAACTCTAGCATCTGCCTGGGCCTTAAAATTTGTGCTGTCTGGCCCAGAGTATTCACTTCCTTCCTGATTGTATGTTACTGCTGTCCCCTGCTGATACACTGCTGTATCTACACTCTGACCTCCACCAGATCCATTCTGAGCAGTCTAAGAATGAGAATTCGGGGAAAGAAATAGCAGAATACAATCATAAATATATAATCTGGAATGAAATATGTGCTACACTGATAAGTAATACAGAGAAGTTACCTGTGTGACAGCCCACTGTGCAGCAGCTATAGCTGTGCTGGCTACAGTAGCAGCACTCACTCTGCTACCATCCGTCAGGAACACATCACTGTCACAGAAAAGAAGCAGAGAGGGGTTCATTGGCTTCAGGTCTTCTGTTAGTGACCTACATTTCAACAGATATTCTTGTGATGCAAAGGTACAGTGTCACTCTATTTTTAGGATTCTATTCTGCTTCAAGTAATTTCCAAAGCAATTTATGATCCACTTTAAAACTCAAATTTATCATGTGAATAATGTGCCTTGGATATATTATTATTCTTTGTGTAAAAGCAATAATAAGCAGTGCACTTTGTAACCAAGCTTGGGTGTGTTGAGTATTTACCGTTTGGAGCCTTTGGCAAACTCCACTACGATAGACTTGCCATCAATTGAGAGAGCTGGCTGGAGAGCCTGCAAGATCTGAAGCAGCTGAGACGCCTCCTGTTGGCAAAGGTGGGTGTGGGTGCATTTCTGTGTAGTTGTCTATGACTGTATGCATTTGGGATAACGCTTACAACTGGCAGCTCATTAGGTACACCAAGCAAAAACTAATGCAGTCAAATGCAACAGTCCTCCCTTCATCAAGGTTAAAATCTTTAGCCTTTATTGAAGCTGGTTTAGCAAAGGCGTTTGTTCAACTGTTTGATCATTTTGGATGTTTGTGCTGCTATGGAATGGTAGTGTGTTATACTGACATGTGTTTCTATTATATGCACATCCCATTTATATCAGATTAAATAACACAAACACCTCTCTGTATAGTGCAGGACAGTTCAACAGCAGCACAAACTACAGCCTCCAAAATAACCACAAAGGTGAATCAGCTCCTCTCTAAACTAATTTGAATATTAAAAAAAGAAAATAATCACCTTCATAAAGGCAGGAATTATTTCAATTCTTTTTTGCAAACAAATGTGAACTGAGTATATTTCAAATGTACACAAAGGACAAAATGTTTTATGTAATCATCGGATCTGAGTGCAATTTTAAATAAATACAGTGAACTACAATGCTCAAAATACAGTTGTTTCTCACCACTATGGTAGAAAGTTGTAGAAATGCAAAACCCCTGTTGAGATGTGTGTGCTTGTCCTTGATTAGGCGAATGTTGGAAGGGGAGAGTGTGGCAAATGGAGCCAAAGCAGATAAGATGGCTTCCACTGAAGTATGGGGGCCAAGGTTTCTAAGTATCAGAGCTGTTGATGGAGAAGGTGAGAGAATATTATATTCTTAAAACACACAATTTAGTAATTCTGGTAGCAGAAAATATAAGGTTTAAGCTTTTGTTTTGAATATCCCACAATGCCCTCATTAGGTTACGAGTCATAGCTAGTAGGGATGGGATTTTTTTTTTTTTTACTCACTACAATTTGACACACAACATGGTGTGTACAATTCAATTTAATCAAGATGCAATTAAAAATTCAATGACTTACTGTCATTGGCGACATCTGCCTGCTGTGTAGTTTGTCCTGGGGTGACAGGAGGACCAGAAGAATGGTAGGGCACAGGCAAAGGCAGTAAGCCCTGGGCTCCCTCTGTTTGAAGACCAATGGGCAAATCCCTCTGCAACTGGGGCAACTTCAGCTCAGCCTCTTAGGGGGGGCAACATGCCATTTATGTATCACTACATAGTGAAAGCGAGCTTGTGCAATTGTAAAATATCAAAGATTTAAATATTTATAACAGCACAGTTAAATTTTACCTGATTTAGGTATGCTGCATTTGAAGCACTTCTCTCTCCTTTTAAAGTTTTGCACACCACACTGTCAAAATATTACATGAGCTTATGTGAGAAGACCTCTTAAAAGCTGGTACAGTGACAGATCAACATAATCAGCTGTCCAAGTTTAGATTTCATGACACGCAATGGAAAGCACACACAACCTTGTTGCAGAGCCAGTCCTCGTTGGCACGTGGTTTTGGGTCGCTGTAGTGCATTGACACCCTCTGTCCCAGAATCAACAGCACTCCCTGAAAGAAAAAGAGAGAGAGAAAGGGGGAACAAAGAATGATCATCAATGATAATTAGGTCACACATGCTAGAGAAAGGGCTCATCTCACAAGAGATTACAGAGAGTGATAGGGATGAGAGGGACAGAGAGAAGAGAACTGAGGCTGAAAGAAGGAAAACACCAGAGAATTTCAACCTTCAGCTTTAGGAAATTGGGACGGACTGTCATGGTGTGTATGTGTGTAGTGTGTGGATGTCCATTTTTAAGGACAGAATGTTTTGTTCAATTGTGTCATCCCTCCCCCCTTAAGGGGAAACCTTTTGCCAGTTTTCCACACATCCCATCCCACTGTCACCACTTTCGACCCCAAATAGACAAAAGCTCCAATCTAAAGATGTAATAATGGTAAATGACCAAGATATGAGGGATTCACAAACAAGAAAATGAAGTTCTACACTGATTCTGATTTAACATACAACAGACCATGGGAGAATTCATACTGTCCAAGAGGTGATACTGTAAACTTAAGAGAAAGTGAGGACATGTCACTGAAGAACATGGAGGCCTCTATTAAAAGAGGAGCTTGTCTGGGACAAATGAAGAGTAAATGTGATGGGAGGGTCCAGTTATGAAAACTATGTAGCTTGGCCCCAGACAGACAGATGTCAGTATGAGGGAACATGAGTTTGCCTATTTGCAGAATTATATGCAAATGAACAAAGTAAAATAAATACTT